AGCTTGGCGTGACAGGGCCTACCCACCTCCTAATTTACTTTTTGATCCGACACATATTTAGCGTTTCCTATAGCAAAACAGGGACTTTGCTACTCTTTCTATAATATTGAAGAGCACCCAACCCTTATCCGCAATTTCTCATATACCACTTAATAAAATTTCACGATACCCTCACAGATTCTCCATTACATATTGCACTGTCACACCTCGTACTTTACTTTTTGTCATGATACTTATTTTGGGTCTCCCAGATCAAAACGTGGACATTACCAATTCAGTCATATGGAAAGCGGGGATATCACTTAGTTCATTCTAAAATGTTGAGAAAATCAACCTGTTAAATTAAACAAAATTTTACAAAGTAGGGATTTGCATTCACAGCATAACCATGACAGGGAATTTCAACACTAACACAGCTCTGCAAACCCTCGGAAAATCATTAATTATACACATATGTATACAGATATATGCTTATACAAAGTCTCATTCACAGCTCATACAATTCACATCTTAAAAATTTCTTCTTTTTTTCCTTTCGCAAGAGACTTGTTATCAATATTTCCGTGATTATGCATGGCACTCATTTCATTGTACTTAAAAATATATGATTAAAATTATTATGATGGGAAATTAAACTGGATTGCTATAAAATTAATAAACTATAAAGGACAATAATTATGTGATCTCACACCCAACACAGATTTACATAGCATGACCTTTCGGTATAAACAAAACGATAAGTATCAATAATGATGAATTGCTGGTGCGCTAATCACCTTTACTGACATTTACATTTCACTTTAGACATTAAATTTCGGGAATGCATTATACTGACATCTGAAGATTGGTAACTTTAAATTCAATTCCATTAAAGGTTAATAGTCTTTGCAAACATGCAACTCTCCAAAAGAAATGGATTATATGTCTTGAGAGATGATCATTTTTTTTTTACTATTAAAAAGAAGAAATCGGTCACCTATAAAAAAAAAAAAATATATAAACACCTGGTGACTCTGAGAGAAAAATTAGACCGAATATGCATGGAGACAGTAGGAAGCTGCGCTACTTTGATAGATAAAGGCACACAAATATTGTAAGCATCCATAATCATCTAGCATTTATAGACAAAAAAGAATCTAATAAAATAAAATTTTGAAGCCATATAATTTATTCCTTACAGTGTGTTCTCAGTTAAATGTTGTATTTTAAACTTAAAATTTATACCGTGTATACTTATTTTCATAACCGTATAGGTATTTGTTTTTCTTTTTAACAAATGCTGAAAGTACGTGATATTCTATATTAAAAGAAGAATTATAATGATTTTAAATAAAACATATGATTGTAATGAATGTTCAGCTAGCGCTGCATATTTCATTTCCGTCATTTTGAAGTATTCCTCTTTTCATTTTCGTCATTTTAAAGTTTTCATTTCCGACATTTTATTTTAAAGATTTTCATCTCGGACATTTATCATATATAGTACATTTCCCAACAATGAAAACAAAACTGCAGGCATCTCTTACTATTATTTTTTCTTTAAAAAAAAAAGAGAGAGCAAAGGATAGAGAAAGAGAGACTTGTTTTGGGAGAGGGACCCCCACCCAACCACATTTTTTAGACAGTTCAGATTTTTAGGGCCAGATTTTTTGAACTGCTACGGGACTGAAATACATTGTAATAAAAACCACCAAGTCTACCACATCTATTTCATATTTGAATGCTTTACTGACTATATATGATGATGGACAACTAACAACTGAACTGTTTGACAAACATGATGATACCCTGGTATATAGCTTTGTTAACTCCAAGCTCTTATTTCATGGCCGTAGGAACCGGGGAGGGGGAGGGACGGGGCGATATATAGTATACTAAAGAAAATAAGTAGCTTTGCCCCCTCAATAAAAAAGTCTGAAATCTTTTTTTCATTTTGCTTGTTAGGGTATTTTTGGAAGTTGATATGCCACCAACTGAACACAGGGGCTTGTAAATGTAAAATAAATTAATAAAATGTTGAATCTTCTTTAAGTTGTTAAAGATTTTGACACTTTCAGGCAAAAAAAAAAAAAAGCACATTTAAAAAAGATGTACCACACCTGCAAACTCATGACCTTGTAAAATAAATTTCAAAATAAATTCATTTTCCAAAAAGGTCAAAGCAACTGGCCAACTAAAGTTTAATGGAGATGTAAAGGCAAACTTCATTTTAGGTTTATGTTCTTATACATCTGTTAAAGTTCATTTGATATTTGTCACTTGAAAAAAAATTGCATTTTTCTCAAGTTTACATGACTTATTCAACAATTTGTAAAATTTTCAAAAATTAAATACATGTAATAAATATATTGTCCTTTAAAATACACAAATTCAATATCAATTTGTCTCTCTCTCTCTCTCTCTCTCTTATTTATTTTAATTAAAATCAGCTGATAAACCACTGATAATGAAAGCACATCAGAACAGCACATCCCTCAAAAATAAGTATTGAAAATATTATAAATGCCTTTTATTTATCAAAGATTTTGCCGAAAGAAACTCTAGAACTCTAAAATTCTAGAACTATAAATTAGGTATACACACTGGAACTCGACCATTTGAACATTTTCTTTATAAAAAAAAATCACTACAGTATGACAAGTGATTTTATATACCGATTTTTTCATCTTTAAAAGAAAATGTGCCTGATCACCTATACATTTTACATGCTGTATAGTCATAAAGACACTACATTAATTTGTCTTGGTAAGTTAAGCCCAAATGATTGTAATAAATAAATAAATCAGCAATATATGGATATAAATCATCTTGACCTTTACAAACTGTACCCAAAATTTAAAGGAAGCCTCCAAAAACCATTCACCATCTATTATATATATAAGTTATAGTGGAATGGTCATTTTGATGGTCTTTATTCTCTGACCTTGACATTTGATTAGTTACAAGTCCATAAAATCTAAAGGTGTTCTCCTCTGGTTTTTTCCTACCTTAATCATAAAAATATATTTTAAACACCAATAATAATAAATATCTTCCAAATCTGCTCACAAACTAAACCACTCACAAAATACAAAAGCATTTTCATATTACAGCCAGCTGACAACATCTAAATATTCCCTAGATATTACAAGAAATTATTACAAGACAAATAATTACAACACTCTCATTATTTACAAGACACTGTCTTTCATAAATTTGCTGCTTCTTACTATAATCTGAATGTGTGTGATCTTCAAGCTGCATGGTCTTCCAAGTAGTTGTGCACGGAGAAGACCTGAATACCATAGGGGTGTAATACCTCTATAGGTATTATGGTATTTAGGTCTTCTCCCTGCATGTTAACATTATATATTTATTATATATTTACATCCACTGAATATTTTCTCCTTCATTTTCTTAAGAAAACCCATTGCGTTAATCACTGCATGAACTACATTAGGCATGTCGCCTGTTCAGATTTCTGATCAGTGGCTGTTCCATCAATGAAACATATAAAGACGTTCACATCATTAATACAATAAATAATCTTTTTAACCCTACTTTAAATGATTATTTAAACAGATATAAATATAAACCATAAAATGTCTTTCTTTGTTTGTTATTACTGGAATTAACGGTCGCAGCTATTGAAGAAAAAAATTACATAACCCGCTTACGTGGGTTATGTATTTTTTCTGCAACAGCTGCATCCGTTAATTCCAATAATACAGGGGTTGATCCAAAAGTAATGTCACAACTTTGACAAAAATTGCGATAAATCGACGTAAAGCAACAAAATTATACATGATGAAAGCTTTATTTATCTCAAATCAGACCACACAAATTTAAAGGAATATGATGTATACTTTCCAAATTATCGGATTTTAAACAGTGTGCATTTATGGTAGTCGCTGCACCTAAATATAATGTCATATGACAGATACCACCGTCATACTTTTAAGCGTTTCCCCTTCGTTTCATTAAAATATTTGTGATTCACAAACACTTTCACCAATTCCACTTTCTTTAAGAATTCTTGGTACCATTATACACCTACTCTTTTCATAATTACGCCCTCTATCAAAATTTTTTTGAACAGTAGCATAAGACAAACTTAAAAATTCACACGTCACTCTATACGTCTGTCTTTTTTGACAATGTCAGACACCATTGAACGTTTCCGTCCGATCTCCTATCTTTCGGTCTTCTTGTCCTCTGCTGATCATTCAGTGACCCACAACCTGCTAAACATTGCTGAAACCATCTATTAAGATTTCTCTTATTTACATTCTTTATTCTGCAAGTCTGATTAATTAACGTAACTGTCGCTTGTGATGATTCCCATATTTTGAAGCAAAAATGCATTACAACTCGTCAAGCCGTTTTTTATTCATTTCGAAAATCCCTTTGTTCAATTCAACAGAGTAAAACAACAATTTTTATGATCTAAAATGCTAATGCCGTCATTTAATTTTCAATTAAAGACTAGAAAATTACGAGCATTGTGTCTTTTTAAAAAATGGGAGGTTAGGTGCTTTTTTAGAATCTGTTTTAATGTGTTTGTCTTTTTTCGTTCTAAGAAAAAAATATACTTTAAAACGTGACGTTACGTTGTGACGCGGCAACACCTCCTATGCTCTTTGTTTTAAATATCTATTAAATAAATTCAAATAAACATCATTAAATTAAAATTTCAATGTTAATTAGATTTATATTTGTGCATCTTTTGGTATACTGTGTTTGATAACATGACGCCAAATAAAAAAGATATGGACAGTGTGACATTACTTTTGGATCAACCCTTGTAACAAACAAAGAAAGCATTTTATTGTTTAAATTTACACACATATCATGATATGGATTAGGATTGTAACAAAACATCAGTACATTGATATACGGTGATGCAAGAAGGCTGCTTTAAAACACTGATACATAAAATGAAATGTCATTTTTTGGATACTTTTTGATAATAGCGATTATTAGGAAGAAATTTGTACAAAAGCTAAATGAATCAGACTTTTTGAAAGAAAAAAGCTAAAACTTGTATTTTCCTTTTAAAAAACAATATGTAGAACCAAGGAGATGTAAACACTTGCTTAATTATAATATATTGTAATTTTTTTCTGAAATATTGTGAAACACTGTGATATTCCCTAATTCATGATTCACAGCCCTTAATCATAGAATGTGAATAGTTACAATGGCAACAGCAGTCATCTTAAATTAAAATGTGAAACATATAATTATGTCTGGTTTTACAAAATATGATCAAACTGAAGGATAAAAAGCATTTTGAAATTTTACAGACAAACAGACATTTTTTTTTACTTTGATTCCACAGGTTTGATAAAGATCCTGTCTAGATAACAGTTAAAAAAGGTACTTATTATCCAGCTGCATATGGTAAAAATAAAATGACATTTATGTAAAGAAAAATCTGATCATTTTCATCTCTAACAAAATATTCCTGTCAAATCTATGATCTGTGCATAATAATTTGAGGTAAAACCCACTGATATTGCTTTAAAAACAATTGACATTTTCACAAAATTTCACCAAGCCTATTTGTTACAATCAAAGAAGAAAGGACTGTTGGTTTCACTGTTAGGGTTGATGGTCTCTGAGTCGGGTATCCCTATGTGTCTGTGGTATTCCTGGAAGCACACTCGGCCCTGTTTACACAGAGGTACGTCACAAACGTCGCACTTATAGCTGGCGTAGCAGTACCACCCAGACTTGGTTTTCACCCCCTTGATCTGACACCAGGTACACGGCTTCCTGTTGGGGATGTACATCAGTTTGTGGACCGCGGGGGGCTGACTATCCCCAGAATGTCTACCGTTCTCCTTCCTGTCCTCTGATAGGTCAATTAGACACGAGGGCGGTGGTTTTGTGGTGACTAGGTGGTGGGCGATGGGAGGTGGTACGAGGGAGGATAATGCAGATATTGGAGGTAGAAAGAGAGAGGTGGTTACTGGTAAGGTGGTGTATGGATTTGTGGAGACTGCATGAGACCTGGACTGTTTACCTAAAAATAGGAAGAAGAAGGGATATCAAAGTTCTACTCATTGTGTATACATTTCATATAAAATGCAAGAACCAAATTATTGCAATTAAAAAAGCATAAAAACATTCTAAAGAAATATTTTTTAAAGTTCTTTTGGAAGTCATAATTAGACTTTGTAGACTTTGATTGTTAATATGCAAAAGTTTTTTGTTCTACAATTTTGGTTTGATGGTACTAACATTCCCCCCCATCCCCTATCCCTCCCCCAAGATGCTGACAGATGCTAGGAATGTGTTTCCATTTTCTGTTAAATGTAGCTTTAAATCTTGCCCGCTGACCTTGTTGGTTAATTCTCTGAGGATAGTTTCTGTGATCCACCACTAGCTGCTGTTCCGGGAGGTAGTTATCGTGAGTCACCTGTGTAGAGGGGGGCGGATTATCTGAATGCCTTTGTATCCCAGAGTTACACCTGAAATTCTGTGAAGTGTCACTGTCTAACTTTCTCTGAGCTGATTCGACAGATGACCTTCTAGTGTTAAGCTGTTGACCTGTGTCCATGATCTCTGATGACTTTGACCTCTGTGGCTGACCAGTGTCCCTGTACTCTGAAGCCACCTGCTCTTGCTCCAATAGTTGGTGTCTCTCTTGGTCTACAGTCCCAGATTCCACCTTAACAATGCTCAGATCAAGACCAAGTTGATTCCCAGACTCTGACCTGCAATTATTTTATTTACCTGGTAGTACACAGGTCTTATATTCAACGTATGACATATAAACTACATTGTACATATTCTTTTCTCTCTATTATTGTATATACTGCACGTACCTTTGTGACTTTAATCCTGTGTATTTATTGGGACCACAGGACTCCGACTCCTGATCACTAGCTCTCACCAGAGTTTGTTCACTGATATCTGGAGGAGGGGTCTCCTCATTACTGTTTGGTGTTGCAGTGGAGGTAGCAGGAGTTTTAGCTGAGGAGGAAACTGGTGTTCTAGAATGCACTGAAGAGGAGGATAAAGACACTGAAGGCTGAGTACATGTAGTAGCACTGTCGCAACACTCCTCCGTGGGGGTCACGACACTGGTCTCTTTATTAGGTTCACTGTGACTGACCACCCCCACCCCTACACTCAGACATGATCCTCCCCTATCTCCTGGCTCTGTCTGTACCAGCTCTAAACTGTCCTGTAGAACATCTCCAACCTGGAGACTCTTTGACTGGTCAGATATGTTGCCATAGTTACTTGTGGTGGTTGTCATCTGACTGCTGTTGTGTCTTCTTTTAGTTTTCTTCACATACGAATTGTGAGACAGATCATGTGACCTTTTGACCTGAGTGTCTGGCATGGTTCTGTGTAATTCTGAGGTGCGGACATGACGGAACTCAATCATATCACAGAAGGAATAGCGGTACTGGTCTCTGCTGGACAATGTACCAACTTGGTCCACCAGACTCTTACAAAAATCAGCGCAGCACTTGATAACACTGTCCACTTGTAAGAGACGCCCTATCTTCTCAATATCTCTGTAGTTGTCCTCTGTTATCATAATAAAGCCCTCGTATAGGTACTGTAGGAATGACAGTACAGACTGCTGCTTTATATCGGGGGACAGTCGAATCTCTAGCTGGGATCCTGATGCTGCATGCTCCATCGACTGCAGCATAGGGCATGCTGCCATCATAACCACTCTATGAGCCTGAGAAAAGGGTAAGTTAGATGAGAATTTGAAAAACAAAGTTACTAAATTACTTTATTTGCCATGCAAATAGTACATAACTGATTTTTAAAAGCATGAAGATGTAAATCTGGATAAATTTTAAATATTTGACTTGGGTTTATCTTACCTTTGTGTTGACTGTGCCGGCTCGTATGACAGCATCACACATTATATCATTTTTCCACATCGAGGCCAGCTGACAAAGCAGGGAGCTGGAGTGGATGGGATTCGTGTAAAACTTCTGATAACTCATTCTGTTCTGGACATTCTGATTTTTTTTAAAAAAAACAAGATGTGCTTTATAATTGCATTTGAAAATATTATCAATATCACAAACCACAAGATCAGGAAGGTCTTTCCATCATTTTAATGTTAATTTAAATAACTTGCATTTGAAAATATTATCAATTTTTTTAAACTAAATCTATGATTTTTAAACAAATTCTTTCATTTTTTTGAGATTTGTGTTGATATTTTTAATACCTATTCATTAATTTTGTGTGAATCTTTGCCTGACAAGTCGATATTTTTTTTGACTATGAGAGAAAAAAAAATAAAAATTCAGGAAATAAGTTTGATTTGGTAGCAAAAAAAAGTTTGCTTGGGTAGAAAAATGAAGCTACGTAGGTAATTTAAGCTACATTGCTAAATCACGTGTTTATTGTAAGAGGCTCTGCAACTTATAATACCTCTTTAAAAGAAAGAATGTTGAATTTTCTGCTAAAATCTTAATACAAAAGAGGAAAATATTTAAAACACTTACTACTGGATACCAATCAAAACATAGGACGTCACTAAAGCAGGAAAACTCGCTTTTAAGGCTTGTAATATTTTTAATCTGAATCTGTCATTGTTCTTTCACTTTCTGAAGAATGACGATCCCGACTTATTTTTCTTTAAAAAAAAAAAAAAAAAAAAAAAAAAAAAAGTTCACAATTACTATCGCCAGAAGCGATTACAAAATTATTTAAGATTATCTTATTAAAATTTAAAAACTACGGAATTTGATAAATAAATAAATAATCATGATGTCCAACGAGAGCCTTTTAAATAATCCGGATATTGTAGGACCACCTGAAATGAGTTTAAAGCTTTTTTGTACCGGAAGTTTACATTGGTAACCCCCGACTGGCCTCAAGTTCTGACAAGACTCGACAAGAGGTTTGATACATTGCCAGGTACAATTTAACTTCCTTTCATTTTTATCAACAAATGATAATTTTTTTTTCATTGCAATGTTTTCAATCAAATGATACAAAGAACAGAAACCGAAATACACAGGTTTTGAAATGTGTAATACCTTGCTGCAGATTTTGATACGGGTACCGAATGTAAACACAAAGGTACACACTTGTCACTGTTAATTGAGATATTTTATCACTAAAGTATGTGAAAACAATTTGGAATCCAACATTCGCCTCCTTAATTCGTTTCACGGGCACTGGAAGTTAAAGTAAATAGACTAAATACTAATTAAGAATGTGCATGTAACATGCAAATACAATGTAGATCTACTCAGTATTTGTAAACATAACCTTCCAGTACCCGTAATTCGTTTAGCTTGCTTCTAATTACAAGGCCAACATCATTAAAACAAATATGACATTTACTGGTTTAGTGTATTTGATCTGCAAATCAAAATTAAAGTCAGATTTGACCTAAATACCTCTTTATTCAGTAAAGAATCATGTTTGTCTGCCATTCCTGAAAACAAATCCCCTTGAACCAATATTTTTCTCAAATCAAAAAATATTATCTTAAAGAATAACAGTGATGATACAGTATCTATATTTCTAGGCTTAAAATGAATGACAATGAGGAAACCGATTCTGAATGGGACAGCACTCTGGATTTTACTTCTCCCCGACAGACGGGGGATAAGCGATCAGTTCCCCCGGAGATTGAGGATGAGGAGGCTAGTCACCAGGATTCCATCGTGGAGAGACCCAAACCGAAGGAGAGGACCTCACTCCCTGCCAGTATGTCATATATCACATCTGTTTCCAAGGCTGTTTTTGTTTAAGTATTGCTAACTTCAGGTTTTAAGCAATTTTTAAATTGGCCCCTTTAACCCGAACTTAGTCAAGAAATATGATTTAAGGCATGAAGGGGGGTCATTATAATTAAATTATGATTAAAGAACAGAATAGTAAATTTTTTCATAGCTTGATAAGAATGGAGAAATTATGAATAGCAAAATGAATGACTACACAGAATGTGTATATTGAGTTTTCTTCTGCTGTTTTATTGTTTTAGATCATGATGTGTATTGAGTTATCTATTGCCGTTTTATTTTTTTAGATCAGACTCCTGAGGACTACACCTATGCAGAAGTCGTAAGAAAAGAGTAAGTCAATTACAAACAAATGGAAAGAAATCCTTACAAAAGACGATGTGAATTTATTTGTTTTTGACTCAGAACCTTTTTTTACGTATATATTATTAAAGACAGGAAGCTTAATATCAACTTGAGACTAATTATTTGAATTAAATGTGATCGAAATATTCTTTATATTTCCTCAGTAAACAACCACAGAAGAAGTCAAAAGAAAGCCCACCTCCTTACAACTTCAGACCAGCTGTTTCTGGTACAGTCAATGCTCTAGCATTCTATCACTGAGAGAGTTCACAAGATTTATAAAGTTCAAAGTGAAAAAATTATTTTATTTTCCGATTTTTTTTCAACTGGATAAAAACACAGGTCTTTTTCCCAGGAGCAAACAAGAACATTGCCCACTTGGGAATAAGTGCATGAACACTCTCATGAATAATAAGTCCAAATCTAGATTTTTTTATGACAAACAAAAGACTTTAAGAGATTTTAACATTTTTTATTACAAGTTTAGAAAATGTCTGCTGCATTGTGAGCACTATAAGGGATTTTCTTTCCTCATTCTTTTTTTTCAGTTAGAGCGCTATATATAAGTCAGTTAAGTGATGTTACCCTTTGGACTTTTTATTACCCATATTTAAGTAGCTCTGTTAAATATTTTAGGGAACATTACACCCCAGAAAACAGAGCCTCCTCCCGGTAAAGACAAAAAGGGAACAACTTATGATGTCACAACAAAAGGGAAAACCCCGGCATCACAACAAGACAGCATAATGAGTAAGACAAAAAAATTCAATAACAATTTTATCAAACTTAAACTCTGTCATTTTAATACAGCTCATCGAAATCCAAAGATGAACTTTTGAAATTATTCTCAACTAGCAGTATTAATATAGATAACCTGGAAATAAGAATTCAGTGGATGTCAGTAGATTTGTTAACTGTGTGTGAAAAATATTTTCACTCTACAACCTCATCAATATGTGATTGATGATGATGACAGAAGAAATAGGAATATGATAGAATAAGTTTATTTTTCACTGATTATGTCCCCTGATCAGGCACAGGTTCCTGGGATGATACAGATGAAGATGAGAAGACCCTGAGGGAGCTAAGAGAGACGTTTAAAACAGAGAAAAAGAAGGAACAGGAAGCTGAATCACTCAGGCTCAGACTGGAGAGTCAGACAGAGGGTAGGGAACTAGATTAGGCTATCAGTAGGGCACTAGATTAGACTCAGACTGGAGAGACAAGAAAAGGGTAGGGGCTGAATTAAGCTATCCTTAGGATACTAGATTAGACTCAAGCAAGAGAGTCAAACAAAGATAGGGAAATAAACTAGGCTCCAGATTGGATTTAGGTTGGAGAGTCAAGCAGAGGGTAGGGACTAATATTACACTGTCGTTAGGACACTGGATCCTGGTAAGTCTTATGGTGGAGAGTCAAGCAGTGGGTATGGACTCAATTAGGCTATCAGTAGGGTACCACTGTTGCAACTTTTATGCCTTTCTGACAGGCGAAAAAAACCTCTAATGTGTTTTATAGGCATCTGTGTGTGATGATCCCCCCTCACCCTTTATGTGGGATAAGATTTTGATAATATGAAGTTTATGAACATAAAGATATTACATAGAAATATATGCTGTGGTACTCTCAACTCAGTGTTTTAATAAATATGAAGTGAGAGACTCCATTTTCTAAAGATTTTTCAAACAAAGTATGTAAATACATTTGAGGTCTGTATTTAAAGGGTGACAGTAGAAACAGCAGACAGGCACAGTGTTTTATCATGTTTGATCTGCATTAAATTTTGACAGAAGGCCACCAGTAGCTGGCATTATATAAACTTATCAATGTTGTATTTGACTCCACATTTCTTCACAATGATATTATCTATAATTTTTTTTGTTGAATGAAGCATGCATTTCACAGTGCTAAAAAATTATTTCTCAATTGTTTGTCAATTTGAGCAGATATTAAAGCAGATGAAGGTCAACTGACCAACAGATCTGAGAACACATGGAAAAGCTGGGCCAGTTTTGGGAATAAGCTCGGTAGATCCTCAAATCGTAGCAATAAAGGAAAGAAAAAAAAGGTAATAGCCATGCAACACATTTGAGAAAGAGTTAACTCCCCTAACTTAAACTCCAACGGTCTTGACAAAAGCTTATTTGACTGTGCTGATAGCAATGGACAAATTTTGAAATGATGTGAATTTATTAAACATTTATTGAATACACTCATGTAAAGGATTACCGGGGTATATTTGTAAAAAAACACGAAAGAGACAATTTATTCAACATTCTTTGTAATAATTAGTGATCCCCTGCCACAGAAAAAACTACCAACATGTATATAATTATTATCTCATATTTTAATTAATTACTATTATATTATTATTACAGTTTATGATATCATTAGTCTTAATTAACTGAAATCTACCCTGATTACAGGAGGGTAAGTCTGTCCCTACGTACCGGGATGAGGGTCATTACGATGCAGTGGACGTGGCCCAGGTCCGGGCAGCCGTTCAGAGACAGGAACCTCCCCCACACAACATGTTCCAGGCTAAGCCCCACGACGAGGTCAAAGAGCAGGGCCACCCATCCGACAAGGACCACGATATCAGCTTCTCCGACTACAAACCAGCCAACATGGCGCCACCTTACATTGTCAAAGAGGAAGCAGGGTAGGTCATGGTGTACAGTGCTAGTGTGTTACTGTAGACTGGCAAATATTCACAATGGTTTTAATTTCACTATGTTCGCAATTTTTCATTTTTCCTTGAAATTAAACCCATCGTGAATGCTATCATTAGTTTTTAAAGATGTTGAAATCCTTTTAAAAACTTAACTAAATTAATTCTTACAGCTTGAAATTAAAAGAATTGCGATTGGTACTTTTTGAGAAATTGTGAAATTTTAACACTGATATTAAAACAGCTTACAGTATCCATTGCAGTTAAAATAATCAAAGAATTCAAAATAATGTTAATTTAATATTTTATGGGGAAAAGATGAATTTTAAAAAAAAGAATAAAAAAAAGATATAATGAGTTTGTTATTGGATATTGGCCTGGATAGCTCAGTTGGTAGAGCACCTCATAAGTGGCAGGATCAATTCTGATCTGGCCATACATTTTCTCATTTCCTGTTACGTTCTTTTGCTGTTGCCAGTCTGGCTGTGGTATGTGTTTAATGTTAGCAGTATGACTTACTACTTTGATATGTTATATATTAGCAGTATGACCTACTACTTTAATGGTATGTTTTATATGTTGGCAGTATGACCTACTACTTTGGTATGTTTTCTATGTTAACAGTATGACCTACTACTTTGGTATGTTTTCTATGTTAACAGTATGACATACTACTTTGGTATGTTTTATATGTTAACAGTATGACCTACTACTTTGGTATGTTTTATATGTTAGCAGTATGACCTACTACTTTGGTATGTATTGTATGTTAACAGTATGACATACTACTTTGGTATGTTTTATATGTTAACAGTATGACCTACTACTTTGGTATGTATTGTATGTTAACAGTATGACCTACTACTTTGGTATGTTTTATATGTTAGCAGTATGACCTACTACTTTGGTATGTATTGTATGTTAACAGTATGACCTACTACTTTGGTATGTATTGTATGTTAACAGTATGACCTACTACTTTGGTATGTATTGTATGTTAACAGTATGACCTACTACTTTGGTATGTATTGTATGTTAACAGTATGACATACTACTTTGGTATGTTTTATATGTTAACAGTATGACCTACTACTTTGGTATGTATTGTATGTTAACAGTATGACATACTACTTTGGTATGTTTTATATGTTAACAGTATGACCTACTACTTTGGTATGTATTGTATGTTAGCAGTATGACCTACTACTTTGGTATGTATTGTATGTTAACAGTATGACCTACTACTTTGGTATGTATTGTATGTTAACAGTATGACCTACTACTTTGGTATGTATTGTATGTTAACAGTATGACCTACTACTTTGGACATGGACCAGTGCAATACCTGGAGGTGGACAATGAAGAAGAAGAAGCTTTGATGCCCAAGATTGCAGACAGGTAAACATGAATATCTAGAATTTCATTGGACTAATATTTTTGGTAAAAGTGAGACTGAGATCAAGTGATGATCAGGTCATCAACGTTTTATGGCCCCTGCTTACATCTTAGACCAGATATTAGCTAGGGCACACTATACTAATTATACAGTGAAATTGAATTATTTGTTTTTAGCTCTACTGGTCAGAGACCAGAAGAGCTTATGCGATAGTAATGCGTCCGGCGTCCGTCCGTCTGTCTGTCTGTCTGTAAACAATTTTTCAAAATGCTACTCCTCCTACAGTTTTGGTCTAATTTCAATATAACTTTGCACACAAGTAGACTGTCTAGCTGTCTGTCTGTCTGTAAACAATTTTTCAAAATGCTACTCCTCCTACAGTTTTGGTCTAATTTCAATATAACTTTGCACACAAGTAGACTACACTAAGATACATAATTTTGTGTATCGGTTTTTGATTTCGATAAACGGTGTTGCCGTGGTAACTAAAAATAGAAATTTCTGTAAAATTGTTTCAAAATGCTACTCCTCCTACAGTTTTGGTCTGATTTCAATATAACTTGGCACACAAGTAGACTAAACTAAGATACATAATTCTGTATATCGGTTTTTGATTTCGATAAACGGTGTTGCCGTGGTTGCTAAAAATAGAAATTTCTGTGAAATTCTTTCAAAATGCTACTCCTGACTCCTCCTACAGTTTTGGTCTGATTTCAATATAACTTGGCACACAGGTAGACTACACTAAGATACATAATTCTGTGTACCGTTTTATAATTTTGATAAACGGTGTTGCCGTGGTTACTAAAAATAGAAATTTCTGTGAAATTGTTTCAAAATGCTACTCCTCCTACAATTTTGGTCTGATTTCAATATAACTTGGCACACAAGTAGTAAACACTTAAGAACATAAGAAGACCTTATCAATGATCATTATTCTATTTATTGCTGTTGTAAAGTTTCAATTCCCAACTGCTTAAGTACTTTTCTCTTCCTTTGCTACAAGTACAAACCAGTAGAGCTTCAGTCTCGACAGAGACTTCTGGTTCTCTTTATTTATTAAGTAATAAATAAATCAATAAATACATTTTGTAGTATGCTTGTTTTGTTACAGATTGGAGGGTATTTTCCAGAGAATTTGGCAGGAGTTTTTTGGAGCACTACGCATTGTGACCAGTTTCTTCATCCTGTTTGTGGTAGAACTATTCAAGTACATTATTAAATACGTCTTCCAGCCCATATTTATTGGAATTTTCATGACGACCGGTGAATATGTCATGAAACCTGTACTGTCAGTTTTGTTCAACGGCTTTATGCAGCCAACAGGTGTTTTCTGTTGGAATTGTTGTGTTACATCGAAACTTGTGTGTACTCCAATAATTCAGATATTGCAGAAAATTCTGGAACAGTTTGCCAAGTGCTGTAGACATGTCAGGTGTGTGGAGATATTCTGGAAAACCGGTGAGCCAGGGCCGCGGAATGTGGAGGAAGCAGACATTAAACATGTTTAAAACTGTATAGAGGTCAGACCATATCACACACAAATCAAACAGGCATATCAAAGTCCCCTGTACAACTGCAATCTACTTCAATTCCATCAATGCTTATATCAAAACATCAATGTAAATATAACAATAATCTCTTTCAACTGTTATATGAAAGCAGATTTTTCTAATTGAGTATTAAAAAGGACTTTTATTTTTATATTAGTTGAATAAGTAAGAAGGGTACAAGAAAACATTTTCTGCATTTATTGCTCTGAATGAAACAATGATGTATAAAGGTATATTCCGTCCAGAACCATACATAAATCATAAAAGCATTTTTAATGTATCACATGATTTTATCATGTGTCATGCTTTTATTTTACAACCTACATATACTTGTGTTTTTATTGATTTTTATAAACTTTCATGTTTTAAATCCCTCCATATGATCGACATCAGAATCTCATAACAAACTATCTAGACAAGCCATAGAACTTTGAATGCCATTACAATACATTAGTTTGTAGATGATATAGAGTATTACCGGGGTAATCCAAAGATGATCAACTCACATTTTATACATTTATTACTGTATATCCTTGTACATTTTTAAGTGGTTTGTTGAACATTTTAAATAAATTGTATATTTAAGTTTTCTTTACTTGAGAAATTTTCTCATCTTAAAAGTAATTCACTCAGGCATGAATATTCACTATGCATATCTACATTACAATTTCAGATAAAATGTGCATTAAAATTGCTCATTTTATTCCTACATTACAATTTATAAAATATGCATTAAAATTGCTCATTTTATTCCTCATATACAGTTGTAATCATTTTACTGTTACTCTGATTCATATATTTTGCTTTCTTTATGGGCCACAATGTGCATCGATCTTTATTAGTGCTGTCAGCATTTATGTCTATTGCATTTTCTGTTTTTGAACTGTTGCTCCTTATAATGCAGTGAAATGTAAAATATCTAATTAAATAAAATGTACTTTATACTGTACATTGCATTAAAAAGTGAAAAATAGACACAATACTCTTTTGTCTATAGAAAGGTATTGCTTAATGATTTTCTACATGAAAAATACGTAGACTCGGTGCATTGTATATTAGGCATTCAGCCCCATCTTCATTGTGGATTACATAACATGCTATACACCTTCTTCATGTATTTGCTATGTGATATATTATAATTATACATTGGTGATACACTGTATTGAGTAGCTCAAATGTCATAATTAAATCAAACATTTCATAATTGCCTAGATTAAATGTACATGTACTCCTATATTCCTTTATTGACACATAAAATATATGTTGCATACATAGTATGGTTAACATTTTTAATTGTTTGAATGATATATATATCTTAATTTATACAATACATGTAAAACATATCCCCCAGGTTTTTATTTACAGGTTTTATTTTTCAAGTTATTTTAGATGTTTTCATTTATATTTACTTTTATGTACTTAACAATTAATGCTTGCATATTTATATATTATATTGTTACAATGAGTTGTTAAATTTCATATCTCAGTACAATAAATAGTTTGCCTGAACTAAGAGTCTTCACTCTTGTGAATAGGGTTAATAACATTACAGAGGGAGGGGGAGACAATTCATTCCTTTTTTTTTGAAAATTTCATGATATTAGGGGTCACTTAATAGGAATATTTTGTCTCTAAGATCATGATTATATATATTTAAGTTTAAGTTCACTGGAATAAGATTTATAAGTTTAATTACAATATTAAGCACAATATATTAGTAGTCCAGCTTTTCTCCAAAATATTTATGTAGGGTATGAGACTTGCGAAGCAAGATTTTTGCACATCAGACAGTCTATACACTGTACATTCTTAACATTACAGTAAATTTTCAACAAAGATGCTTGGTGGTATTAAGTGGTTGAAATTGGCCCTTGGTTCTTGAAAAGAAGTTAGAATGAAAGAAAATGACAAAAGAAGATGACCAAGTTTTATCTAAAAAGTTCATCTAAGCTCTCAGCCCAGACAAACAAACAAGTTTATTTTTAACTGTCATCATGTTTTCTAGAGGAAAAGATATTAAGCCAAAAAATTATTAATGTGTCAATTCTTTATTTTTTTTTCCTTCGATGTTCTTTAAACTGTCAGTCAGTAGCATCTAGAGATGCTTGACATAAATACATGTAATGATTTCTCATAAATCAGACATCACAGTGTTCTGATTATTTAGATAGTTACAAATTGAAGATGACTATATGCTTGCATTCCTTGAACACACGACATACTCACTGTATAATAAAACATGTACTGTAAACATGCATGTACATCATAGAATATTTCACTGAATGTTTTACACATTCTAGAATATATGCATTATATCATCTAGATAAACGGTAAACACAGAGAATACTCACTGTAAACATATCCTAGAATATGCACAGTGAACACATCACAGGATACTCAAGATAAACATCGTACAGTATACTTTACAGAGGTGGATTCCTTATTTTTGAGCATGTTAGTCAATTCACCATATCTCTATTTCAGACTAATTTTCATATTTCCATTTTTCACTTTTAAATGTAGGTCAATGTCTATCTATCTTCACTTATATCATCAACTATAACATTCATCAAGTTTGTTTGTGAGTGAAACTATCACAGTTTATCTATTGTTGAATTTATTATATCTTTCTGTTAAATCTTGGATGTTTTATAGAACCTGTGATTTGATTGGTCATCATTGGGTGAATTTCAGACTTTCATCCAATCAGAGTTCATCACTGTCTGGAGAGTTTGTTAGTCAGGTCCTCCATTGGTTGAGGGGAATGGCTTCTCTTGAGATCTTGATTCTTCTCACTTACTGACTTGACACTTTCCGGTCCTTCAGAAGAATCTTCCTTTTTTATTAAGTCTGTGGACTTTTTACCCTGTAATGATAAAAAAATATATTATATGCTCAAAAATTACAAGGAGGATATTCATCGCTGAAATACGCAACGTACCTAACCTAGTGATAATTTATCAAGATATTCTAGATATTTTAATTTAAGATTATAGTGTCGTCAGGTGTTCATAGACAAAAAATCAGCATGCATTTCGTGGATGATTCACAGGCACCTGGGAGCTGGAACCCCCGCCCTTTCATTTTTTTTTCTTTTTAAATCTGGGTTCGACACACATTTTTCCTATTTTAGTAGTCTAATATGCACTACTTGATATCGATAATATAACCCTTTTGTCTCTATTAGCCATTTTTAAAAAATTATATCATTTTTGACAGAAACATTTAAAGAGAGAAGGCTTCTCTAAGTTAAACAGGTAAATTTGAGTACTTTCAGTGAAGAAAAAAATGTGAGCACACTCTCTGATCTAAAAAAATAAAACATGTCTTTTAATCCTCAGACAAAGTTCTATCATTTACTAGTTGCATATTTTAGATCAGAGGTTGTGCTCTTTATTAAATATAGAAAAATAGCTCTAAAAATTGGCCATTTTTGTATATCTTTTCCGAACATGAGGAAATTGACGCATTTCGTGACGTCATAATGCATTGACAAGCACTTTTGATAGATACGCAATCACCAAAGATCTAAATGATATTCAATGCATTGTTAACAAAAACTAAGCAGTTTCAGTTTTTCAGAAATTCACAGGGCCAAAAAATGCAAATTTAAAGTGAACCTTGGTCTTTATAGTAATTTTGATAAAATAAAAAGTTGGTAATGCAGTAGTTAGAATAATCTAACTGTGTCTTGGGACAAGCCCTCACCACAGTTAGAATACCTCCCATATACTCGCAATGTAGCAAAAAATTGCAGAGTCGCTCCGAAACAATTTTGAGGAATTCAAAGGGATTTGCACTGAAAATACCTGTAACTTCAAAATTAATTATAACAAACCTTTATGAGGTTGCTTAAGTATTTAAACCTAAAGTGTAATCCAAATAAAGACGAAAATTCAACTAATTTTCTTAACTTTTTTTCTCGCTTCAAATTTACACACCATGTTAATGTTCGGAAGTCTCTTGGTTGTTCATAGTAAATGCACTTACCAGGTAGTACGAGTTATCGCCCATGTTTACATTGCTACATTGAGAATACAGGAAGGAATTCTATCATTAAACCGGGTCCGTAGGACATTTATCATTTTAACAATAGAACATTCTATCTAGTAATACAGCAACCAATCCAAAAAAAAAATGTTCCGCTCTCATTTTCTCATAGTTTAGTACTTCAATATCGCGTCCAGTAGGAGGAGAAGATGAAATTGTGAAAAGTTTTCTATGCCAACAAAAATGTTGACCTAAACAAACAAGAGGCCCATGGGCCTTATAGGTCACCTGAGCTTCATGCAACAACTTTCAGATGATTGAATTTAGTTCATGTTTTAAGCTAGATGCTATGACATTCACAATTTTGAAAGAGGCACCATTGCTAATCATAACTATCCACTTAGCAATTGTTTAGTTTGTTTACTTAATACCCATAAACAGGTTAGGGGAACAAAAAAGCATGTCAACTAATCAGTAATATTCAGCAATAATTAGGAGTGCCCTTATCACACATGAACCCCTGACCCTAGGTCTACACATTGCACGATTTTTGAAAAGGCACACTTGCTTATTAAAAATGTTCAATTAATACCAAGGAGCAGATTTCAAACAATTCATTTTCAGTATATAGAAGTAGAGCCCCCCCCCCCCCCTCTTTGGTATCTCTGACCCAGGGGCCTTGAAATTCACAATTCTGGAAGAAGAGCCCTTGCACATCATAACTATATAAATAGTTCATCTGCTTATTACCCAGGAATAGAGAAAAAGATTTTCATAGATGTAATGTATTATCACCATATAATCATGATAGAGCCACACCCAAACACCATAATCCCTGACCATGGGGCCATAAAATTCACAATTTTGGTAGAAGCATTCTTACTCATCATAACTATGTCCTTAATTAGTTTATTTAATACCTAGGAGTAGAGAAAAGACCTTTCAAAGAATGAATGCATTTTCACTATATAATCAATAGAGCCCCACCCTAACACCAGAACCCCTGACCCTGGGGCCATAAAATTCACAATTTTGGTAGAGGCACTCTTGCTCATCATAACTATGCAATTAGTTAGTTTATTTAATACCTAAGAGCAGAGAAGAAGATTTTCAAAGATTTAATGCATTTTCACTATATAATCAATAGAGCCCCGCCCTAACATCAGAACCCCTGACCCTGGGGCCATAAAATTCACAATTTTGGTAGAGGCACTCTTGCTCATCATAACTATGCACTTAGTTAGTTTATTTAATACCTTGGAGCAGAGAAGAAGATTTTCAAAGATTTAATGCATTTTCACTACCGGTATATAATCAATAGAGCCCCGCCCTTACATCAGAACCCCTGACCCTGGGGCCATAAAATTCACAATTTTGGTAGAGGCACTCTTGCTCATCATAACTATGCAATTAGTTAGTTTATTTAATACCTAAGAGCAGAGAAGAAGATTTTCAAAGATTTAATGCATTTTCACTATATAATCAATAGAGCCCCGCCCTAACATCAGAACCCCTGACCCTGGGGCCATAAAATTCACAATTTTGGTAGAGGCACTCTTGCTCATCATAACTATGCACTTAGTTAGTTTATTTAATACCTTGGAGCAGAGAAGAAGATTTTCAAAGATTTAATGCATTTTCACTACCGGTATATAATCAATAGAGCCCCGCCCTTACATCAGAACCCCTGACCCTGGGGCCATAAAATTCACAATTTTGGTAGAGGCACTCTTGCTCGTTATAACTATGTACTTAATTAGTTTATTTAATACTCAGGAACAGAGAAGAAGATTTTCAAAGAAATAATGCATTTTCACTATATAATCAATAGAGCCCCACCCTAACACCAGAACCCCTGACCCTGGGGCCATGAATTTCAAAATTTTGGTAGAGGACTCAATGCTGATTACAATCATACCAACAGTTTGACTGCTTGATATCCAGGAGTAAAGAAGAAGATTTTTAAAGATTGCACTAATTTTAGTGGTTTTTGCCCAACCCCCCAGGCCCCAGGGGGGCAGGGACCATGAAATTCATATTTTTTGTTCCTCTTCACCCATAGATGTTATATGCCAAATTTGGTTGAAATTGGTTTGGTGGTTTCAGAGAAGAAGCTGAAAATGTTCAAATGTTAACGCACGATGGACGACAACGGACGAAAACGGATAGCAGTAGGTCACCTGAGTTTACTCAGGTGACCTAAAAATGAACAAATTTTGATCAAAAAAGCTAATTTGAGCCTTTGGCTTGGGTGAGCAAGAAAGTGTATTTGGTCTAAAAAGTAGGATTATCATCCTAGCTATAAAACAGACCCTATCTTACTTATTGATCTTGTTATGGATAATTGATGTCAGATTATCATGACCTAATTGGACTGGTCCCCATACTGAGAGGACCCGCCCCACATATTCTGGCTTGTAAATAACCCCTTACCTGTATGACATCCTCCATGGCGTGTTTCCTCGTCCAATCCTTAGCTGTCTGGATGTATGCTGCCCTATTGTACTGATACTCATTGGACTGAAAAATTCAAATATCGGAAACTGAGCTGTGCTCCAATAAATCTTGCAAATTTAGTACAAAATTTTACAAGGGACTTGATACACCCTACACATTTCTTGATAAGAGAGGAGGTTCAACAATTTATGCTGTTTTGTAGAGATCCTCCCCATCTTTTGTTAACAAAAGCTAATTAATGATACATACTATATCTGTCATGAGAGGATCTTCTGGATTAGGCTCCGCCATTAACAGCTGGACGCTGGTCAACACAGTGGACACATTCAGACACGGCTTCCAGGCTCCCTACAGAAAACAAACCAATCATAACCTTATTAAAACAGAACTACTGGTTTCTATAAAAATTCTATTGGCCATTTTAATTACATATTTTTTTTCATATTCTTAAAATATTCTTATAATACTTGCACTGAACATGCTGGAGTATTGTTACCATTCAGTTTAGTGAAGTACTGTACCAAGAATGGTAATGTTCACCTTTTACTTTGTGAAACCCCTGATAAATGCCTGATCAAAATGTAAAATAGGAGGTCTTAATGGCACTATGTAATTTCTGTGAAAGTCATTTTAAACTTTATTAAATAGTATATAAAATTAAATTGTTGTAGACAAGAGATGGTTTACCCTGAATATTATAAAAAGAATGGCAATGTTTTGTATGTACAGGAATCCCCAAATTTGTGTCCTATCAAAATGATAGTAGATGCACTATGGCAACTATGTAATAATGATTTTGTGCAGGTTTTATTTATAACTCTATTCAGTGGTGAAAGAGGAGTTGAGGATAAGGGGTGGGTACCTCCAAGTGTAACAGAAAAACAAACAGACACCCTCATCACCATGCATCTCTCACTTTTTAAGCAGGCGTGGACAGGCGTTGAAGTTCAACAAAATAATTTAAGCATGTAACAATTTTTAGACCTTAATGTTCTAACCTTTGGAGGCATCTTGAGTGTGTCTAGACATATCCTACCCCCGCTGTCAATGTTAGGGTGGTATATGGGGGTCAGGAACTTCACTTTTGGAGGCTCAAACGGATATCTGTAAAGACAACAGACATTTTTAAATTACACTGATTTAAATTATGTTCCTTTTGGTGACTAAATTAAGATATAAAGTATTTTCAAACTAAACCAAAAAAGAAGTGATTCCAGTACTTATGGTAACGTGACAAAACCTGTCAGGTATTTGAATTTCTAACCTATCAGGTATGCCATATTTGAATTTCTTACCTGTCAGGTATTTGGATTTCTTACCCGTCAGGTATTTGGATTTCTTACCCGTCAGGTATTTGGATTTCTTACCCGTCAGGTATTTGGATTTCTTACCCGTCAGGTATTTGAATTTCTTACCTGTCAGGTATTTGAATTTCCAGCTTAAAAATTCCTCCTTCATAAGGTGTTCCCTCTCCTCCCAAAATCTCTGAAAAAAATTACAAAGTGATAATAATGCCTTGTTCTCAGGGATTCTTTTTCTGTGCTTTGATCAGCTGAATTTGGTTACAATAGTATATATCCTTGAATCATAGGTTTCCATGGCATTTAGGGCTAATGTGTAACATATGTAACAAGTCACAAGACTGAAAAATTGAGATGATTGCTATTATATCACATATACAAACAATAATTCTCCTTATTTCAAAATTATTTAACTCATATATCAATTGTTATTTGTTCAGATCAAGGCCATCGTATTCTTGCATAGCTGCACTTACATTTTGTTGCTGATGTCATGTGTTTTTCGTGGTATTTATAAAACAAGTAATCTATGGAAATCTACTAGGGCAAAATCCTTATAAATTTTACAGTGTCAAAAATACTAGAATATTGACAAAATAATTACATTCATTAATTAACACAAAAATTCATCTGTTGTTAACATAACAATCTAGGCATGCCTAAGATGTATTGCTTAACAAGAGCCGCATGGGCCAAATCACTCACCTGAGCACTGTGGCTAAGAAAAAGCAGAAATCATTTTATTAATGAAAAGTTTACACCCAAAAGTGGTCAGAACCAATCCTTAAAGGATGAATCTACACTAACTAAGGATGCTTGCATATTTTTTTGACTACCTGTGGCTTTATTATTGTCCTTTACATTTGAACTTTAATGTATTAAGAAGAGTTCAAAGTTTAATATTTCCACTGCACCAATGTTCGACTTTTTCCACATGCTGAAAAATAACACATTTGAGAAATAAAGTGCCGCGCCACAGCATGATACGCCCGTCAAAAAATTACAATTTTCTTGAACAGTTTAGGTGCAAAAAATCACATCAACCTTGATTCTAAGATTTCGATGATTTTTCCATTCCTTAAAATATTTATCCATTCCCTGTGATGTAGGCATCTATTATAATAAATATTACATCACTAATACTGTAAACCAAGTATTATACGCGTGCGATAAATATCCGCGAGTTCCGCGAGTAAACTCTGCTCGCGGATATTTATCGTCGCGAACCAGTTGTTCATTTTCCCATGTGGTTATGATTAGAGTTATTTGCCCTTTTTTGAATACCGATCCCGACAGTTCAATAAGTAATCACAGAAGAACTTTAGTGTTCTAGAAGCAGTTGAACTTTAATTACAAACATTCAGAAAAAAATATATAAACGAATTGCAGATCTAAAACTATTTGTCTAAAAAGGATTAAAATTCAATAATTGTTTCAGCTTGTGTTATTATTGTTCTTTATTGTCACAAACGAGTTAGAGATAGCCTGGTTAATTACGACTAATTATGGCCCAGTCCTGCTCCGTCCCAACCATTTATAATAATTGCCCTTTGGCTATGTAGATCTTGTAAAACGTCAATTACCCAATTAGCATGAGGTACTTTTACACCTGTGAGTTTGAAACCGACTTTAATCTCCTCGATTTTTTTTCCAAGACTTTCAAGACAAGACAAGACAAGACTTTATTCTCATAAACTGTACAAAACAGTATAGAGAGGATATAACACAAAATATTTACAATTAATTAATTAAGCATGCGTGAGACAAAGAAAAAAAGAAAAAAAATGACAATGTCACAGACCAAGAGAGCCGACTCTCTCCATTATAGTTCCAATAAATTTACATAACTTAATTAATTTTTCCCTGTTGTTCAAATTAAATAGTTGGTCAAACTTAAAAACATTAGGATTTGTGTAATAATACTTGGGCAATAGATTTAATCTAGAATTCTTAATGTATGGGTCAGTGCATTTAAATAAATAATGAAATTCATCTCCTATTTCCTGGCATAAACACAAGTGACAAATTCTGTTTTCTCTTACAATATTATACCATCTGCCTGTTTCAATTGGAAGCTTAGCATTACCAGTTCTAAAAATACAATATTTCATAGAAAGTTTAGGAGGTAAATTCAACAAGTATTTCTCAAATGTTATTGACTTTTTAAACAATCTATAATTAAGACTTTTTGGTGAATTATACATATCACTATACCACAATTGTTTAAATTGATCTACAAGAATATTTTGCACCTTATTCTTTAACCATGTAATATTAATAGAGTTTTGTTGCCATACATAAGCCAATCCACACTCATTCAAAATATTTTTAACAGCATTACACCATGGTATATCATAATTTTTTAACACAAATAATAGTTTTGATGACATTTTAGTGCCTTGTGATACCACAAGTTTTACCCAGAAAGAAATCATACGAGTTTTAACATTAATAGATAGAGGATATCTACCAAGTTCTCCATACACCATAAAATTAGGCGTGGAAGACCTAAGATTTAATATATGCTTACAAAATTTTAGATGAAGTCTCTCTATAAGAGCAACATTACAAGATCCCCATATTTCACAACCATATAACAAAATTGGTTTCACTATTTTGTCAAACATATCTAGTTTACAGTCAATTGAAAGATTATGTTTTCTACATTTTCCAAGAACACCATACATTGCTTTTGTAGCTTTTTCATACATATCCTTAATATTCAAATTAAAAGATCCACTTTTACTAAATGTTACTCCTAAGTATTTAAAATTTTCAACAATTTCCAATGGAACACCTTCAAACTTAAATGTATTATTATTACATCTTTTACCTTTACCAAATAGAACAATTTTTGTTTTAGCACTATTAACCTTCAAATGCCATTTTTTACAGTATTCAGCAAACATCTCAAGTTGGTACTGGAGATCTTCAGGGGATTCTGATAATAGAATAGTGTCATCTGCATAAAGTAAAACATAAAGCCGCAGATATATATTAAGTTCATCTTCAATTTTCTCAGACAGATTTTTCAAACCTTTTACATTTTTGTCAAACAAAAAACCTTCAAGATCATTTAAATACAGTGCAAATAAAAATGGTGATAAATTTTCTCCTTGTCTTACTCCAACAGTACATGAAAACATTTCTGATGATACTCCATTAACTACTACTCTAGATTTAATATCCTTATACATATTAGTTATAATTTTAAAACATTTGCCATCTATATTGTTCAATAAAATTTTATTCCAAAGACCTAATCGCCAGACTGAGTCAAAGGCTTTCTCGAAATCTATAAAAACACAGTATAGTTTCTTTTTATATAATTTAAACAGTTCAATAAGTGAGTATAATGAAAAAATATGATCCAGAGTAGAAAAATCTTTTCGAAAACCGGCTTGGTTCTCCAAGATAAGTTGAGCTCTGTCAGCATAGTTATTTAGTCTCTCATTCATAATGGAAGTGAACAATTTACCCAAACAACTTATTAATGTAATTGGTCTGTAGTTTTTAGGATCAGATTTATCACCTTTGTTTTTATATATTGGTATTATATTGCCATTAGTCCACTGTGAGGGAATTATTCCAGAATCAAATATTCTATTAAATAGCTCAACATACAAGTTCAGTAAACAGTCAGATGTACTCTTGATGTACTCATTTATAATTCTGTCATCACCACTAGATTTATTATTTTTCAATAATTTAATACTTTTAAGAACTTCATCATGTGTGATTGGTTGATTAATAAAGTGATTCAACTGCATATCAGATACCAGAAGCAGTTCTTCCTCATTCAAAACATAGTTATCATTTGATTCATTGAATTGCATATTGCTACAGTCTTTATAAAAATTATAAAGATCGTTTAGGTCAGCCATACATCTTTGTTTGTTTATGTTTGTATTTAAAATTTTCCAATATTCTTTAGGGTTTGAAGTGCGTAGGTATCTTAGTTTCTTTTTCATTTCTGTTCTATGATTACTATTTGCAAGTTTTAGTTTCTGATTATACAGCTTTTCTTTTTCATACAAGTTTGTTTTGAAAATAGAACCACCAAATTTTTTATACAGTCTCTTTGCTTTTCTATAGTTTTGCCTGGCACATTTACAATCAGCCGTAAACCAAGGTTTATTAACTTTACAATTTTTGATTTCTTTGTTACAGTTTGTATAAATTTGTTTTGTGCCAAATACTTCTTTAGCACTTTCTACAAAGATTTCACCAACCCTATCTACAATATTATCAATAAACTCCAAATTAGTATCTTCAACTGCACAGTTTTTTATATCATTTTCAAGGATTTTAACTACATTCACCCTTTCTTCAACATATTTTTGGTAGTTCAACTTTTTATCAGTATCCCAGTTTTTAGCAACTACATAACAAAGGCCAGGAGGTTGATCATCAGTTCTACACCCTATACAATGTTCATTTCTAAACAATAATGAAACTTCAATAGGATTATGCACATCTGAAAAAAGCGTGCAAAATTGTAATATCTTGAAATCTGACACATATTTTATAAAATCAATATTGGCTATACAATAATCCACAACACTTGTTTGTTTACAAGTTAATTCCCCATCACTATCACCTCTTGATCTACCATTAAGTATAAACATATTACACTGTTTACAAACATCTAGGAGTCTTCTTCCATATTGATTAATAACTAAATCTTTTTTTTTCCCGATTTTCATTCGAGCGTCGTGAATAATGCGTAAGAAGTATTATACTCATGGTAACATTTTACCTACTTTAGGTGCGGATATAAGATTTTTAAAAATGGATGCAATGCACAGAATGTCTTGAATGATAATGCGTAAGCAGTACTCACAGTAGCATTTTACCTAGTTTATGGGCGGATATAAAATTTTGATCTGATACAAAAAAATACTTGTGGAAATAAAAAAAAAAATGACCACTTGTTCGCGGAAATAAATCGTCGCGGATTAGTTCTCTAGCGGTCATTCGCGAATAAAAAATGACGCGTATAATAATTGGTTTACAGTAGATTTCTGTGCTGGTTGTGTTAGACCTTGTCAAATGCCCATCATCAAATTAGTCTTAACAACTTAATCTATACCAAATTAATTTTGAAAAAAAGGCTGGCCATCAAATGACAAATGTTATAAACTGACCAGCAGTTCTTCTGTCTAATCCCCAAAGGGCTGCTTAATCAGAGTGACTGAAACAGCTGGCCTTCCTACATTGAACTCATTAATTAATCTTTAACTGGATGCTTGTCTACTCATTACTACCAAGAGATGAATGGGTCTGCACTATCTACTATATTTTTTTTAAAAAAACATATAAAATACTCTCAGATTTTTTTTTTAGTTGAGATTTAATGTCCGACAGGTTTTAGTATGTAATTCATATGGACATGCTGATTTAACCCCACCCCATAAAATTAGTTTTTAAATTAATAATATAACATAATATCAGATTAGTCTATTATGCAATATTGAATTAATTTTAATTACTTTTCATCAAATTCATTTCAAAACTTAAGCTAATCAACAAGAGCTATTTTTAATCAAACAGGCTTACCCATTTGCCCAATTCTCAAGGGATATAGATAACGCCAATGCTCTGTCAGTTAACTGCTGCACTCAAAACCCATTAATTTCTCTCTAATTTGACATGCAATTTTCTGTTATCAAAATTCTTCTTGACCAGTGCCTGATAATTACACTCATGGGAGACATGGGATTTCTCTAACATGCATTATATTTGTTTTAGATTGCTGTCAAGTATATGCTTAAAAAAAAAAGTATTTTCTTAATATAACACTTTTTTAATAAGAACAGTGCAATACTTTTACATTATTTGGGATGTGTAAATGAATATAAAAAGACACATTTTTTTTTTAAAAATTCACTTAAATTAAAGGTCACAGTGACCTTGAAATAGGTCGCGACACACCTTCTACCTAAGATGCATAATCTGGCCAAGTTTGATGATTGTAGGTCTTATGGTTTTCTAGTTATGGGCCGGAAAGGATTTTTCCATATTTGGCTATAACTTCTTAATTAAAGGTCAGAGTGACCTACTTTTTGTGCGCGACACACCTTCTACCCAAGATGCATCAGATGACAAAGTTTGATAATCCTAGGCCTAGTAGTATTAAAGTTATGAGCCGGAAACGAAAAAGCTAACAGACAGACGGACAGACGGACAGACGGACGGACACGAAGCCTATAACATAATACGTCCCGTCTTAAGACGGGCGTATAAAAAGTCTGATAAAATAGCTTAGATCAAGCTATTTTGAATACTGTAGAAGTACTCTTTTCCGCGTGGTATTATTTTACGCTATGTACGCGGTCACAAATTTTCCGCGGAAATTTGTCCAAGCGTACTTAATATTAATGTAAGGCATATAGTGACAGTTTAAGAAATCCGCGTAATTTTCTACCCGCAGATTAAACAGAAATTGTGATTCCGCGGAATTATGACCCCGCGGAAAAAAGTACGTCTACAGTAGCTTAATAAAGCTTTATAGCTAAACCAAGCTATGTAGCTTAATCAAAAGATTGTGCTGGACCTGCTCAGTATGCAACAATTCCTAACTCTGATTTTTATTACATTTAACGCATGTCAGCTTCAAATAAAGGTAGATTAAGACTGAGCGAAAGTAGAAAGGTAGATGAATACCAATCCCGATTAGAATTAAGACGAAGAAAAACAGAAATAAAAAAAATCGAGGCGGGGGTATAAAATCAGGGCGGGCGGGGATGAGAATCTAGGAATATTTTTATTATGGCCTAAACAAGTTTTACTGTAACAGTTAATCTGTGAGTAAGCAGCTACTTTAACAAAGAAAAGCAGTTTTGGTCCACAAGATAATTGATTGGTAATAATAGAGCACAATACAAAGCAATCACACTTAGTCATGCCTCACCGCACTTCCAGCTATCCAAACAATAGAGATATATTTTTTGGTTAAAAAGTGTTTAAAAGAGGCAATGTTTTTACTATTTATGCTCTAGGTTGTTTTTATCAAACCTTTTTAAAAAAGTATCAGCCATAATATACATGCGACTTTTTGTCTGCTTTTCATAAAGCAGAAACTTATTCCAAAATAACTAAATAAAGCTATATTTTCTAGGTAAATAAAGCTATATAGGTAAATAAAGCTATATAGCTAATTATAGTGATTTTCCTGGACCTGATCAAGTCTCTTACGTGCTGATAGTTGGGTGATATCCTCATCGTTTGACCAGCAGGACACGCCATGTGGCGGAGATTGAGAAAACATCTGAAGTTCTTTTTTCATTCGCAAATTTCTCTGCATACTTGAAGTTGAAGTATTGACAATATTTTTCATGAAATATTGAAAAAGCCTCAATCTCGCGCTTTATTTTGGATTGATAATTTTGGGAATGACACACCCGATGTCAAAAATTTTAGGAACATACTAAAGACCTGATATACCAAAGACCTGATATTTGACCTGATGAAAAAATATTTCCTACAAACTATCAATTTAAACATTATATTTCATATTTCTGGGGCAAAAATATTAATGATAGTAGCTAATACTATACTAAAATACACTTTTAGTGGATAATAAGTAGATTTTTTGCTATGTATTAAGGTATATTGACTATATTCACAAAACTTGATGACCTGATATTTTGAATGACCTGATATTTTTTACTTTACAGATCTGATATTTTTAAATGAAATGGACCTGCTGCAAATATTCAAATTTTATGAAGTTAACATTGAAATTTGCTTTATTTTACTAAAAATATACTGTAAGCATAAATCAGGTCATTTAAACCCATCACATCATTAAAAAATATCAGGTCATTAAAAAAAAATATCAGGTAATCATCAGGTCATTTCAAATCATCAGGTCAATTTTTTCTTTTAGTTCTGGCATAAAGATTTGTATCAAAACCATTTAAAGTGTTTAATTTTTCTATAAGAATTAAATAAAAAATATCAGGTCAATCAAAACCTCCCATTGCAAGTCATTTATGAAAATATCAGATCTTCACTAGAAATATCAGGTCATTCAAAATATCAGGTCAACATTTTTTTGTAAGAATACCTTGATACAAAGAAAAAATTGTCAGTTTTATTTACTAAAAGTGTATTTTAGTATAGTATCATCAATAATTGTATCCCAAAAAATTGATACAGAATGTTTAAATTGATAATTTTATGTGATATTTTTTCACCAGGTCAAAATATCAGGTCTTTAGTATATCAGGTCTTTAGTATGTTCCAAAATTTTATTTTAGAGCAAGGTATTTCCAGAGTCTAAAAATACTTCAGAAACTGAAAGGCGGGCGAAGACTTGGAAGAGTTCTACAACATGGTAAGCATTATCACTACAAATGAAAACTTTGTTTTATAATGTGTTTTGATGTCTGACTAAGTAAACAATTTGCCCCAAACAGCTTAAATTAAATGGCGTTAACTACTGTATTGATGTAGCTCGCCTGAGCCAATTAAATTTCTGATAGATTAGAACTGTAGAATGCGACAGAAATAGATGGAATATGGTTGCACTTGAATATTAAAATTGATTTGTAGTGGTGCGGCCAGGGAGTGGCCTTATCCGAGATTCCTCTGACTCTTACCCCTGCTTTTTATATTGTATCGTCTCGTATCCTGTTTTCGACCGTATTGTATTTTCGACCTATTTTTCTCAATCTGCTTCCCGTGCAGATTTTGCGCGGTGTATAATTATTTTCGGTTGCTACACTTGGAAAAATACCTTTGAAGCTCAAATGTACTTAAGGTAGGATTCTTCTCATATTTCTAATATTTAAAAATTAATGAAGTTTTCACAGAATCAAGAATTTAATACCAGTAAGTGATAGTATCAGTGAAATTAAATTTGACCGTTTTAAATTAGAGGCAAGGTCAGGTCAAGGTCATTATCTTTTTCCTTGACATTAAGAATAATAAAAAATAACTGTTGCCAATCATGTGATACCTACTTCTATTTCGAAAGTTTAATGATTGTTCTTTTTTAATAAAAACATATAACTATATCGTGTCTATAGCATGATATTACCAAATTTGCATAAATAATTTAACTTAACTGGATATTGGCTAATCCGAATTTTCTCTGTTTTTCTTAATTTTTTAGGATATATTAGTTATTTTCATATGCTTCCAATATTTAACTTTTTCTTATTTTCACATATTATAAAGTTGTTGTTTTATAAATGTACAAAATGATACAAAAACAAAAAGTTTTGATCGTTTATTAATAGAGAAAAAATACTTTTTATGGATTTTTGGCTCAAATCTGCACTTTGATAGGAAGCGTTTAAAAGCTAATAAAGTTCTAGTTTGTTTGAAAAATCATATTTATTTGATATATTTTGAAAGTTTAGTCCCTCATTATTAATCTAACTTACATTTGAAAATTTCTCCAAGACGTCGATTGTGTAAAAATTATAACTAAATTCATTGTTCTATTATATTCACAAAACTTGATGACCTGATATTTTGATTTTGAGAGGCAGAAAAGAAGATATTTTCATACGCCACCATTCCGCCAAAAATATAGTCCTGGCCAGTTTTCAAACGCAGTTTACCATTTCTATTTAAAGTTGTACAATTGTGATGAGGAAAAAAACCCAGAAGTCTCTGTCGAGACTGAAGCTCTACTGGTTTGAACTTATAGCAAAGGAAGAGAAGAGTACTTAAGCAGCTGGGATTTGAAACTTTACAACAGCAATATATAGAATAATGATCGTTGATAAAGTCTCTTTATGTTCTTAGTGTAGTCTACTTGTGTGCCAAGTTATATTGAAATCAGACCAAAACTGTAGGAGGAGTAGCATTTTGAAACAATTTTACAGACATTTCAATTTTTAGTAACCACGGCAACACAGTTCATCAAAATTAAAATTTGATATACAGAATTATATATCTTAGTGTATTCTACTTGTGTGCCAAGTTATATTGAAATCAGACCAAAACTGTAGGAGGAGTAGCATTTTGAAACAATTTTACAGATATTTCTATTTTTAGTAACCATGGCAACACCGTTCATCTAAATCAAAAACCCATATACAGATTTATGCATCTTAGTGTATTCTACTTGTGTGCCAAATTATACTGAAATCAGACCAAAACTGTAGGAGGAGTAGCATTTTGAAAGAATTTCACAGAAATTTCTATTTTTAGTAACCGCGGCAACACCGTTCATTGAAATCAAAAACCGATACACAGAATTATGTATCTTAGTGTATTCTACTTGTGTGCCAAGTTATACTGAAATCAGACCAAAACTGTAGGAGGAGTAGCATTTTGAAAGAATTTCACAGAAATTTCTATTTTTAGTAACCACGGCAACACCGTTCATCGAAATCAAAAACCGATACACAGAATTATGTATCTTAGTGTAGTCTACTAGTGTGCCAAGTTATACTGAAATCAAACCAAAACTGTAGGAGGAGTAGCATTTTGAAAGAATTTCACAGAAATTTCTATTTTTAGTAACCACGGCAACACCGTTCATCGAAATCAAAAACCGATACACAGAATTATGTATCTTAGTGTAGTCTACTTGTGTGCCAAGTTATACTGAAATCAGACTAAAACTGTAGGAGGAGTAGCATTTTGAAAGAATTTCACAGAAATTTCTATTTTTAGTAACAACCGCAACACCGTTCATCGAAATCAAAAACCGATATACAGAATTATGTATCTTAGTGTAGTCTACTTGTGTGCCAAGTTATATTGAAATTAGACCAAAACTGTAGGAGTAGTAGCATTTTGAAAAATTGTTTACAGACAGACAGACAGACAGACAGACGGACGACGCCGGACGCATTACTATCGCATAAGCTCTTCTGGTCTCTGACCAGTAGAGCTAAATATGGTTTTTTAAATTCATTACACCTCAATATATAAAACATATAAGCAAATATACTTTGAATGTTTCATCTAGTCAGAAACCAGAGAAGAATCCTACCTTAAAATACCCAAAATAATTAATTCAATGGAATCCCCCCGATGGTTTTAGTCCGATGTCAGAAATTCTAGTCTCTTTACTAATGCACATTTTATCTGTTGATTAATCAAAGCCGTAATCGGTTAATTACAAAGATTATTTTATGAAAATTTTCCAGAAGAAAATTAAGATCTCTGTCAAAGAGGTGCATCAATATTGAAATGAATGGGTGGATCAAACGAATTTTTTTCTTCCTCAAATATGGGCACTTTCTTACAGATTTTTACTGAAAAATGCAACGTAGTCTCACTGATTTTTTGTGGAAATGCACAGCTACTGACAGATGGGTTCAACCAATGAATAAATGTATTTGCAACCAAAATATGCAACTTGTTCAATGTTTTTTTGAAATACAGACAATCGTATTTTTATTGTTTGGAATATCCAATGGATATTTATAGCCAATACCGATTGGGCGTTGATACTGTATGCAGGTCGAAAACACAAGACGCTATTATTTTTGTAAGGAAAACTGCACCTTCTCCATATTATGGCATATAAATAAAATAAACACAAAACTGCAATTTAGGTTGTATCATTTTATTTATAGACACATATGCTAACATTTTAAGCCCATATTTTTTCAGATTCTATAAAGTTTGCAATGAATTAATAAATAACATCTAAATAGGTCGAAAATACAATACGCCAGGATAATAGGAAAGGAGAAAATGTATGGCTGGACTGGGAATCGAATCCGGGACCTCTGCATCTCAAATCAGGTGCTCTCCCAACTGAGCTATCCAGGCCGATATCCACGGCCCAAAACATTAATTTACAGTCCTCCCTCCTTAAATGGTCTTTGTTCCCCAAGACACAACCCAAGTTCTTATTGCCCCGGGCAGGACTTTCCCCTGCAATTCCAGGAGTGGTCAACAGCACCAAATCTGTAGCAGGAAAGGAGAAAATGTATTGCTGGACCGGGAATCAAACCGGACCCCTGCATATCCTGTCAGGTGCTCTAACCACTGAGCTATCCAGGCCAATATCCACAGCCTTAACCATTACAATATTATGACATATGCAGGAAAGAGTCTCTCCCCTGCACACGTCACAATACAAAAGAGTCTCTCCCCTGCACATATCACAATACAAAAGAGTCTCTCCCCTGCACGAGCCTCTCCCCTGCACATATCAAAATACAAAAGAGTCTCTCCCCTGCATATGTCACAATACAAAACAGACTCTCCCATGCACATGTCACAATACAAAACAGACTCTCCCCTGCCAGGGATTTATCTAGCTATTTTGTTTTACACAATACAAAACAGCCCCCCCGGAAAATTTTTAAATAAATGGAGCAAAATCCTGCATTCTTAGCTTCATGTCATTTGTAGACCTTTACATAGGCCACAAAAACTTCACTTTTTAGACAAAATATTAAATAACAAAAAAAAAAAAAAAATTTAAACCAGGTCAGTACTTTATTTAATTTTTTCTCTGAATATCTATCACAAATCAATTCTGTTTTTCATGTTAAGGGGTTTCACTACTAACATTGTTTTTGTTGTTACTCCATTCTTCCGATTCATAGTGATATAAGCTCCATCTTACTCATCTACACTTTTCTTTTTAACTCTGCAATAGCATACGTATCTTTCAACATCATGGACTTGGCACATGTTTACCGATCAATATCAAATAAAAGCTTGAATAATCTCTCCGTTTGAATGACTAGGATGGTAAATTAGGATATGCTGTTAAACTTCACATGTCAAAATACAAAATTTCAGAACTCTCCCCTGCACAAAAAGGGGAATTTTTGTTTTTCACAATACAAAACAGCCTTGATAAATCCCTGCCTGCACATGTCACAATACAAAATAGACTCTCCCCTGCACATGTCACAATACAAATCAGACTCTCCCCTGCACATGTCACAATACAAAACAGACTCTCCCCTGCACATGTCACAATACAAAACAGTCTCTCCCCTGCACATGTCACAATAAAAAACAGACTCTCCCCTGCACATGTCACAATACAAAACACTCTCCCCTGCACATGTCACAATACAAAACAGACTCTCCCCTGCACATGTCACAATACAAAACAGACTCTCCCCTGCACATGTCACAATACAAAACAGACTCTCCTCTGCACATGTCACTATACAAAACACTCTCCCCTGCACATGTCACAATACAAAACACTCTCCAATGCACAGGTCACATTTCAAAACAGTCTCTCCCCTGCACATGTCACAATACAAAACACTCTCCCCTGCACATGTCACAATACAAAACAGGCTCTCCCCTGCACAAGTCACTATACAAAACACTCTCCCCTGCACATGTCACAATACAAAACAGACTCTCCCCTGCACATGTCACAATACAAAATAGTGTCTCCCCTGCACATGTCACAATACAAAACAGACTCTCCCCTGCACATGTCACAATACAAAACACTCTCCAATGCACAGGTCACAATACAAAACAGGCTCTCCCATGCACATGTCACAATACAAAACACTCTCCCCTGCACATGTCACAATACAAAACAGACTCTCCCCTGCACATGTCACAATACAAACACTCTCCCCTGCACATGTCACAATACAAAACAGACTCTCCCCTGCACATGTCACAATACAAAACACTCTCCCCTGCACATGTCACAATACAAAACAGACTCTTCCCTGCACATGTCACAATACAAAACAGACTCTCCGCTGCACATGTCACAATACAAAATACTCTCCCCTGCACATGTCACAATACAAAACAGTCTCTCCCCTGCACATGTCACAATACAAAACAGACTCTCCGCTGCACATGTCACAATACAAAACACTCTCCAATGCACAGGTCACTATACAAAACACTCTCCCCTGCACATGTCACAATACAAAACACTCTCCAATGCACAGGTCACATTTCAAAACAGGCTCTCCCCTGCACATGTCACAATACAAAACACTCTCCCCTGCACATGTCACAATACAAAACAGGCTCTCCCCTGCACATGTCACTATACAAAACACTCTCCCCTGCACATGTCACAATACAAAACAGACTCTCCCCTGCACATGTCACAATACAAAATAGTCTCTCCCCTGCACATTTCACAATACAAAACAGACTCTCCCCTGCACATGTCACAATACAAAACACTCTCCCCTGCACATGTCACAATACAAAACAGACTCTCCCCTGCACATGTCACAATACAAAACAGACTCTCCTCTGCACATGTCACAATACAAAACAGACTCTCCCCTACACATGTCACAATACAAACACTCTCCCCTGCACATTTCACAATACAAAACAGACTCTCCCCTGCACATGTCACAATACAAACACTCTCCCCTGCACATGTCACAATACAAAACACTCTCCCCTGCACAAGTCACAATACAAAACAGACTCTTCCCTGCACATGTCACAATACAAAACAGACTCTCCCCTGCACATGTCACAATACAAAACAGACTCTCCACTGCACATGACACAATACAAAACACACTCTCCACTGCACATGTCACAATACAAAACAGTCTCTCCCCTGCACATGACACAATACAAAACACTCTCCCCTGCACATGTCACAATACAAAACACTCTCCCCTGCACATGTCACAATACAAAACAGACTCTCCCCTGCACATGTCACAGTACAAAACAGACTCTCCCCTGCACATGTCACAATACAAAACACTCTCCAATGCACAGGTCACAATACAAAACACTCTCCCCTGCACATGTCACAGTACAAAACAGACTCTCCCCTGCACATGTCACAATACAAAACACTCTCCAATGCACAGGTCACAATACAAAACACTCTCCCCTGCACATGTCACAATACAAAACACTCTCCCCTGCACATGTCACAGTACAAAACAGACTCTCCCCTGCACATGTCACAATACAAAACAGACTCTCCAATGCACAGGTCACAATACAAAACAGACTCTCCCCTGCACATGTCACAATACAAAACACTCTCCCCTACACATGTCATAATAAAAAAAGCAGGGACCGGTAAGAGTTAGAGGAATCTCGAATAAACATAGGCCCCTAATGCAGCATATATATTCCACTGGTGAATTGCAAAGGGATAAAGGAAATAGTTTTCGAGTGTTATCGTTCGGACTGTGGATATTGGCCTGGGTGACTCATTCAGTGGTTAGAGCACATGACAAGTAATGCAGGGGTCCTGGGTTCCACATGATCCAGACATATATTTTCTATTTCCTGTTAGCTTTGGTGTCATTGGTTCAGCTTCCCTGTCCAGCCATACATCTTCTCCTTTTCTGTTACACTAGTATTGATTTGATTTGCTAAAATTCTACTCTGTTACTTTAAATCCCTTCGTTACTTTCAAATGAAAGTATAATAAACAACAACACACCATTTGGATAAATAGCAATGACACGTATCAGCTTTATATTCTACAAAATGTATATACACTGTAACGTAAAATACGAAAATCAAATTTTATATACATGTATACCGTTATGATGGATTGAATAAATAAAGATAAAATGTTAACCTTAAATTATTGTCCTCTTACTACATGCTGTCCTAAATTGAGTGATTCTAAAAAGCCATATGAAATTCACAAGGTATTCGAATGAAAACCTTGTAATTCTGAAAAAGTAATTCATTATCACACCAAGTATAGAAATTGATTTTTGTCTAATTCCTTCCTCAAGCCAAAGAAATCACATTTACAGCTGTAATGGTTTAGGCTGTGGGTATTTGCCTGGGTAGCTCAGTTGGTAGAGCACCCGACTGGAGATGCAGAGGTTCCGGGTTTGATTCCTGGTCCAGCCATACATTTTCTTCTTCCTGATACAGATTTAGTGCCGTTGACCACCCCTGGAATTGCAGATGAAAGTCCTGCCAGGGGGTAATAAGAACTTGCCAATGGGTTGTGTCTTTGAGGGCAAAGACCATTTAAGGATGGAGGAATGTAATAGTTTGGGCTGTGGATATCAGCCTGGATAGCTCAGTTGATAGAGCACCTGACTAGTGATGCAGCGGTCCCAAAATATATATTTTCTCCCTTCCTGTTATAGCTGTAGATACCATAAGCGTGAATTAACATGATGATATTAAGTTATACTACCTGTGGATGCTATATAGACCTACATGACATATCATGCCCTTGCTGTTGCATATTGTAACCACATCCAAGCACAAAAAAGAGTGTGATTAAATGTTTTACATGAGACATCTATATAAAGATGTGAAATAACATTAATAACAAGAAGTTCTGTTTTAACAGTGTCTGGATTAAGGGCTCACTCATGAAGACCAGAAGTCAGAGATATAACACAGGAAGATTTTCTCTCAGGTATAAGCTATCATAAGTTGGAATGATATATAATATAACACAGGCCAATTTTCTCTTAGGTGTAAGACCATAAGTCAGAGATACAGGAAGATTTAATTTCTCTCAGGTATAAGACCATAAGTCAGAGATATGAAACTGAAACTGAGTTGAAACAGAGGTATTACACAGGTCGATTTTCTCTCAGGTATAAAACAAGATGTCTGATATACTGTAGAAGTATTTTTTCCCGCGTGGTATGAATTTGTGCTATGTACGCGGTCACAAATTTTCCGTGGACATTTGTCCAAGCGTACTTAATGTAAATGCAAGGCATATAGTGACAGTCTAAGAAATCCGCGTAATTTTCTACTAGCGGATTAAACAGAAATTGAGATTTCGCGGAATTTTGACCCCATGGAAAAAAGTACGTTTACAGTATAATACAGGTTGATTTTCTCTCAGAGTGCTATGAGTATAATATTAATGCACTTTAAATCCTCCTAATTAATTGCTTCTTATTATTGTTCGTTACTTAATACACAGTAATGAATATTTATGATATACACCGTAAATCTGTTTATAAAATGTTCATCTAAAAATTTAGAAATGTAAGAAGTATTTTTAAAAGAACTACAACATGTACAAGCTACATGTAACCCTAATTTCCCGCCTACATTTTACACCCATTTAATTAAATACTATAGACGTACTTTTTTCCACGGGGTCATAATTCCATGGAATCTCAATTTCCGTTTAATCCGCAGGTTGAAAATTACACGGATTTCTTAGACTGTCACTATATGCCTTTCAATTATATTAAGTACGCTTGAACAAATTCCCGCGGAAAATTTGTGACCTCGTACATAGCGTTAATTGATACCACATGGAAATAAGTACTTCTACAGTATAAAAGGCAATTTGGCTATCAAATTTTTAGGTCACCTGAGTAAACTCAGGTGACCTATTGCTATCACTTTTCGTCCGTCGTCGTTCGTCGTACGTTAACATTTGAACATTTTCAGCTTCTTTTCTGAAACCACTGAACCAATTTCAACCAAATTTGGCATATAGCATCTATGGGTAAAGGGGAACAAAAATTTTGAATTTCATGGTCCCTGCCCCCCTGGGGCCTGGGGGGTGGGGCAAAAACCACTAAAATTAGTGCAATCTCTAAAAATCTTCTTCTTTACTCCTGGACATCAAGCAGTCAAACTGTTTGCATGATTGTAATCAGCATTGAGTCTTCTACCAAAATTGTGAAATTCATGGCCCCGGGGTCAGGGGTTCTAGTGCTAGGGCGGGGCTAAATAAGTATATAGTGATAATGCATTATTTCTTTGAAAATCTTCTTCTCTGCTACTGAGTATTAAATAAACCTACTAAGTACATAGTTATGATGAGCATTGATCAAGAGTGCCTCTACCAAAATTGTGAATTTTATGGCCCCAGGGTTAGGGGTTCTGGTGTTAGGGTGGGGCTCTATAGATTATAGTAGTGAAATTACATGAATTCTTTGAAAATCTTCTTCTCTGCTCCTGGGTATTAAATAAACTAACTAAGTGCATAGTTATGATGAGCGAGAGTGCCTCTACCAAAATTGTTAAGTTTATGGCCCCAGGGTCAGGGGTTCTGGTGAAAGGGGGGGGGTCTATATATAGTGAAAATACATGAATTCTTTGAAAATCTTCTTCTCTGCTCCTGGGTATTAAATAAACTAAATAAGTGCATAGTTATGATGAGCAAGAGTGCCTCTACCAAAATTGTGAATTTTATGGCCCCAGGGTCAGGGGTTCTGGTGTTAGGACAGGGCTCTATTGATTATATATATTGAAAATACATGAATTCTTTGAAAAAAATTCTTTTCTGCTCTGAGGAATGAAATAAACTAATTAAATAGTTATGATGAGCAAGAATACCTCTTCCAAAATTGTGAATTTTATGGCCCTAGGGTCAGGGGTTCTAGTGATAGGGCGGGGCTCTATTGATAATATAGCGAAAATACATTAAATCTTTGAAAGTTTTCTTCTCTGCTCCTTGGTATTAAACAGATGAACTACCTATATAGTTATGATGAGCAAGGGTTCTAATCTTCCAGAATTGTGAATTTCAAGGCCCCAGGGTCAGGGGTACCATAAAGGAGGGGGGGGGGGCTGTACTTATATACTGAAACTGGATGAATTGTTTGAAATCTGCTCCTTGGTATTAATCAAATATTTTTGAAAAGCAAGGGTGCCTTTTCAAAAATTGTGCAATTTGTGGATCTAGGCCTAAGGGTCAGGGGTTCATGTGTGATTGGGGCATTACTGATCATGCTGAATATTACTGATTACTTGAAATGCATTTTTTGTTCCCCTACCCTGCCTATGGGTATTAAGTAAACAAACTAAGCAACTGCAAAGTGTATTGTTATGATGATCAATGGTGCCTCTTTCAAAATTGTGAATGCCATAGCATCTGGATTAAAACATGAAGCAAATTCAATCACTGGAAAGTTGTTGCATAATGCTCAGGTGACCTATAAGGCCCATGGGCCTCTTGTTGTTGTACCCCGCGTTTGAAAAGCAAGAGGGTATATGGTAATTGGGATGACCCTCCGTCTGTCTGTCTGTTACGCTTTGGGGTACCCATCTCTTATCCGCAACTCCTCTCATACCGTAGAATGAAAATTTGATGAGACTTAATTCACAGAATCTGTATTATATATTGCCATTATGCACCACCTTATTAGGTCACCTGAGTAAACTGTTTTCGTCCGTCGTCGTTCGTCGTCCGTCATTCGTCGTGCGTTAACATTTCTTACATTTTATTTTTCTTGCAACCACTGAACCAATTTCAACCAAATTTGGCACAAAGCATCTGTGGGTGAAGGGGAACAAAAATGTGAATTTCATCTTGGGGCCAAAACCACTAAAATTAATGCAATCTTTAAAAATCTTCTTCTTTACTCCTGGACATCAAGCAGTCAAACTGTTTGCAATTGTAATCAGCAATGGGTCCTCTACCAAAATTGTGAAATTCATGGCCCCGGGGTCAGGGGTTCTAGTGCTAGGGCGGGGCTAATCTGCTCCTGGGTATTAAATAAACTAACTAAGTACATAGTTATGATAAGCAAGAGTGCCTCTACCAAAATTGTCAATTTTATGGCCCGCAGGGGTTCTTGTTTTAGGGTGGGGCTCTAATGATTATATAGTGAAATGCATGAATTCTTTGAACATCTTATCCTTTGCTCCTGGTTAATATGCTAATGATAATTACATATAGCCAGGATTTTTTTATTTTCAGTTTTACAAACCCTCCGTGGTTTTGAATTTTCAGAAAAAAATAAAACAATTTATTTTCTTTCCGATGTCAAATTTGAGACAAGAGGACATGGTCAAATTTACGAAGTCACACGGCGGGTAAATAAAGCACATGCGCTTGGTTTAGTGTAAAATTCATCGATAAAAGTGTCATTCAAAACGTTTCACCCGTTTTTTGGACAAATAAAATGCTGAAATTTGTTGCACAATGACATGCTGGTGAGATAATTATGTATTCGCTTCAAAAGTAACTGTAAATTAATTTTCCACCCCCAGGTTTTAAACTGCCCGTGGTAGCTTTTGCATATTGCCAGGAACATTGTTTAGGTCTCTGTTATAGCTGACAGTCTAAGCATAATTCTTCAGAAAAGGGTTGCTTATGCATCAGATGTAATGAATAAAACTATGGGAGAAGTGAAGTCCATTTGAGGAAGAAATAAACAATAACCTGAAGAAATAAAAAAAAATTCAACTATTAAAAGGCAAGAATATACAAATATATACAGGCATGTAGTATCATTTGTATCAGCCAGAAAAATTATTTTACACTTAATTGAAAAAATGTTGACAAATACTCCCTGTCTGTTTTATGATAGGAATTATAATTTTAGGCATCAAGTAAATTTTAGAACAATGTCTACACATTCACCTAACACATATTAAAAAAATGAAGATATATTGAAAGAATTTTAAAGAATTGATTTTTTAAAGTATATTTTGATCAACATCACAAAATTTATATAACTGGCCCAAACTGGCAGATGATGAAATAAGCATTAACATGTTCTACTTTCCTATTTGTAAGCATTATGTGTCCAGTGTGGAGCCTATTAGGATAGCATAAAAAAAGAATGTACAAATGTTAATAATTGATTTATCAAAAAAAAATTTTTATTTCCTTCTCCTTCGGGACTTTTTTATTCTCATGTTCATAAGTAAACCTAAACATAAAAAAATGCTGGCCTTATAATGAAGAAAGGGGCCTCTTTCAAAATAGATAATTTCAGGGCTGCTGGGTCAGGGGTACCAGGGGGGTACTTTAAAAATAAATTAATGCCTTTAAATCTGCCCTTTGATAAGCAATGGTGCCTCTTTCAAAATTTGTGAATTTCATGGCTTTTGGCTTAAAACACGAACCAAATACAATCGCTGGAAAGTTGTTACATGATACTCAGGTGACCTATAAGGCCCGTGGGCCTCTTGTTTACTTTTTGTTCTGACACTTATTTTGGGTTTCCCAAAGCAAAACATGGACACTGCCATTATATGGGAGGCGGGGGTATCATTTAGTGAGCTCATTGCTCACAGTACCTCTAGTTTAATATAAAGAACATTTCATTGGTAATTAATTAAATATATTAAAACCAGTGCCATTTAGTAGAATACCCCTATTTTCGGCTCTTGAAATAAGGAGGGTAGATGATATTTTCCAATTAAATATTAATCGAACTTTAAAGCAGCACCATATTTTGAAATAGTCTTGCCTGGATATGATTAAAGATTCTGAAATCTTTTCTTAATATGTTTAGTGCAAAAAATTAAACATGATTATACCCCCCGCAAACGAAGTTTGGGGGGGTATATAGGAATCACCTTGTCCATCTGTCTGTCTGTCCGTCTGTCCGTCTAGCTGTCTGTCCAGCTGTCTGTTTGTCTGTGCAATTGTGTCCGGTCCATATCTTTCTTACAGAGGGACGTTAAAATCTACTACTCCACACAAAGATTGCCCATGACTTAAGGGTGTGTCATGACCTTGACCCAAGGTCATTTGGGCAACTTCAAGGTCACTGGAAGAAAATTTTCATAATTCGTGTCCGGTCCATATCTTTCTTATGGATAAACTTGGTAGGTTCTCATTTCACACAAAGATTGCCCATGACCCAAGGGTGTGTCATGACCTTGACCCAAGGTCATTTGGGCAACTTCAAGGTCACTGGAAGAAAAATTTCATAATTTGTGTTCGGTCCATATCTTTCTTATGGATAAACGTGGTAGGTTCTCATTTCACACAAAGATTGCCCATGACCTAAGGGTGTGTCATGACCTTGACATAAAGTCATTTGGGGAAGTTCAAGGTCACTGGAAGAAAAATTTCATAATTCGTGTCTGGTCCATATCTTTCTTATGGATTAACTTGGTAGGTTCTCATTTTACACAAAGATTGCCCATGACCCAAGGTTGTGTCATGACCTTGACCTAAGGTCATTTGGGGAAGTTCAAGGTCATTGGAAGAAAAATTTCATAATTCCTGATTGAAACATATTTTTATTATGGAAAAACATACTTCTGAAAAACCCAGCAGGGGTATTTTGTCCCGTTTGGATTCTAGTTATTAATAAAATACAATTACTTAATAGTCCTAAAGCGCTTTGAAATTGGTGAAAAAAATACCCATTTTTTTGTCCATTAAATAAATATGTTCCATCTCCCACCCACCAATTTCTTCCCACCCCTGTGAAACACAAAAAGCTTTGGAATGAACTTGCAAAACAACTTTGAAATCTCCTCCTTGGTATAAATCCAACACTGATGATTTGCAAGGGTGCCTTTTCTAAAATTGTAATATGTGTTGCTCCGGGGTCAGGGGTTTCTGTGGAGGGTGGGGGTAGGGGGGCACTATTGATTTTTGTTAAATATAATTACTGATTATTTATGTACCTCCACTATATGCCTTTGGGTATTTAGTACCCAAACAAAGCATGCTAAGTGTATACATGTAGTTATTATAAGCAATGGTGCCTCTTTCAAAATTGTGAATGTCATGGCCTGTGGTTTAATTATTTTATTTTTTTTCCTTGGTTGGTAGAGGCACAGGAAGGAGAATAACAAATTTTTTTTTATAAATTACATATATATATTAGTGCATGGAATCTGAAAGAAAAGTTTCATACGTACAAATACGGTGGGCCAAAGAACAATATTTCATTGATAAATTTAAGCCTACTAAACAGATAAATGTTCTGATTAATCAATGACTGTTTTATTATTGTTTTCTTATAAATTATTGATTATTATTGTGTAAACATGTATCATTTAGTTTCAAGTCTATTTATTTTGGCGCTTTCTACGGACATTTTTGGCGCCAAATTTTGACGTTGTCCTGTAACTATGACATCATAATAACGACATTATCGTGTCATGTTGCTATTGTTATTCAAAATCCACTGAAGAGCAGAATGGCAAAAGCACTTTGGAGTAAAATGTGATCATCTTTTCCAAACTCTTGATTATTTTTCTGTATTAGTACCTATACCAAGGACATCTTCAATTTTAATATAATATATTATCTACTTGCAGAAATTACATCAAAGAGCTGAGAGCCAATGATGGGAGGAAAGTGTGCTATACCAGTATTAAGTTACATCCTCATATGTGTATGGATATTATACAAATATAGCCCCTGGATGAGGTCGATCCATAGATATATTGACTTCACGGAAAAGGATATTGATTGACCTTGCATGAAGTGTGAGGTGGATATCCTTTTCTGTGGATTTAATTTGATATATCTATATGATTGGACTGAATGAAAGGGTTAAATTTGTTATATTTTTTTCTTTTTATGAGATAAATAAAAAATTAATTTTAAAAAAGAATAAGTTTTCATCTCTCGTTTAACACATAGACACTTGACATCAAAACAAAATACCGGTACTGTAAACCAACTTTTATTCTTGTGTGAGAAAATATCGTGAGTTTTGTGACAAAAACAAGTGAATATTGTACAATTATGGACTCTTTTGGTGTTGAATATGGTTTGTTATTCACCAGAAAAATATTCATATTGACCAAGGTGAAGCCGAGGTCAATATGGATATTTTTCTGGTGAATAACAAACCATATTCAACACCAAAAGAGTCCATAATTGTTTTTATTATATAGTCGGGATTTGAATAGATAAGACATTGAAGGCTGTATGATGACACCATTTTTATTTGCGATCTTCCATTGTTGAAAATAAAAACAATCTCCAGATTACTGTTTGTAACCTCCGTGTTTTCCTTTCCGAGTTTTGCTATGTGTAAGACGTCCAAATGTTAAAAAATAATCCTGAAATAGGTTTGAATAATTGTTTTCCTGCTCAGATACGTAGCTCGTTGCGGCCGTTTCAACCATTGTTTACAACATTGTTCGATGTTTTGATTGTGACGTCACAATGCCGTTGCATGAGCATTGACCCTCCGGTGAATACGGCCTAAAATACGGTGAATATGTAGTGTTATGAACTGTTTGCGTTTGTATAGATTATATAGGGACTATGAATAGACTATATAATAATAATCACTGTGAACCATTCAGTTTGTTTTGTATTTGTAGAGAATGTTTCCTCGGTCATGAAAATTAATCACCGGGGATTGATTTCAAATTGACAAATCACACATGAAAGATGATGCGAATAAAAGTTGGTTTACAGTATGCTGATTTATCATACACTAAAAACCTGCTTTCTGACTGTTTCCTGAATTCACAGTTCACATATTCATTGATTGCTGAATTCCTCGTTACATTATTTAGTTGTGAATTTGAATTCTCCATGAAGTAAATATCTGCTGTTTATATTTTGCAGAATCTGGTGACCTGTGAGTCCACCATACAAAGAACAGACTATAAAACAGGGGAGGTGACTGTATGCGGCAGAATCAACTGTACCGCAGGTAAACACACAGGGGTGACCACTCACCCACTCAGCGTTATGTCAGTAATCAACTCTTTAGGATGTTATCACCCTATATATAAGACTAAGATTTTCAGAAATGTCTGGAAACTGACTTGTCTGATTTCACTATAAATATTACCGTATTTCCATTTCCTAATCACAAAACATTCTCTTAACCCTGAAACCTGTCAGACTTGTTATGATCACGAGACCTAGGTTTTGAAGTAAGAAAAATGTGAATTTCTTTTACAAGTTGGGTCAAAGTCCATAGGACTGTACAAAAAAGTCCATAGGACTGTGTACAAAAAAGTAACTTACTCCGAGATATTGAAACACTGTACCATCTAGTACAGTATTTTTTTTACATTTGTAAATCCTGAGTCTAAATTCAAAAAGCATGTGTATCATATCAATTATTGCACAAAATATGCCCATTTTAGCTCTCTCTCTCTCTTTCTCTTAATTTTCACACATATGATATAAATCTGTAGTTGGTTTTTATGTTAAGGAGTGTAAGTGAATGATACAGCTAACAAGTGTGTTATAACTATTTATAGGTTCCTATGTTAAAGTGTGTACAAAGAATGGTACAGATGACCATTGTGAACGATGTCCGTCTGGTACACACTTACTGGATAATACATCATCTGACCTACCAACACCTTGTGTTACTGGCACTGCAATGTAACTAAAATACAGATCTTTAGGAGAACTGAATACATAGAGGATATTCAATGTTTAGTAGTTGAATATGGAATTTATTTCACGAGTGGGACAGGATTTTTTTTATATTTTCATGAGTGCGAAGCATGAGTGAAAATATAAAAAAAATCCTGTCCCATTCGTGAAATAAATTCCATATTCAACTACAAAACATTGAATTTTCTGTTTATTACATTTTCTTTGATTTTCCCTTTGCCTATGTCTTCCTTGTAATGCAGTTTTAGGCTACATGACGTTATAGTTGAGCAGTTGAGACGTCATAGCTAAGTGAAAAACATTGTAAACATGAATTTCAGCAACATATTTGGGGAACTTTCGCAGTTTTATTTTATGACAGAATGGTATATGAACTCGTTTTCAATCTTATAATAGGTTAAGAAGAATTTTTTACAACACTCTCAGTGAAGGGAAGGAAAATCTCGAGTTTTCCCACACTTCTGATATTTTTTCACTCTGTGACAGGATATCATTTTGATATCCTTTCACACCGTGACAGGATATCACTTTTATTCAATGGATAAATTACAGTATTTCACTGTTAAAAATGTAATAAATGTATTAAGTTCATCTTAGCTAAGTAGATGATCAGTCTCCTCTGTAGTGGTAATGGAAAAATTTTCTTTTTAAGAACAGCAGAGCTTAAATTAGTCCTATTTAAATGTTTGATATGTTACATGTAGATTCAACTTTGTTCATAGCATGGTCTGAAAGATAAAGTTGAGTTTAACACCTGGGAATTAATTACACAAAGACAACCACAAGAAAAAGGGGGGATGAGATGACATTAAGTCTCATTATAATGTAAAATAAAAATGATAATGTCGGAAAACATTACTTTTTGTTTGGGATGTCGAGTTTAATTATTGACTTTTGTCAGGATGATACAGATTCAGATTAAGGTGAGCTTTGTGGCCCATTGTTTTTCTCCTGTTATCATGGTTATATTATTATCTCATTGTAACAGAATACCACCGCCTCAACCAAAAAGTTCCCTCATCACAACCAGAGCTCCCACAGTCCGCAGTACACCACAGAGGACAGGCCCAGGGAGGGATACAGTAACCATGGTAACACTGACCACTGACTCTCCGACAAATACCAGTGACTATCAGAAACATACCAGTGACTCTCCCACAGATACCAGTGACTTTCCGAAACATACCAGTGACTCAGGGACCACAACACAGATAGCAATGTAACTGACAGAGGTTTTATAGATCTAGATGGTCATTTAATCTCTGCTTAAGGATGCATGGGGTGGAAGTGGGCTGGTGTTATGTTCATTATGTATTTTTATAGTAATCACCCCCTGAATATTGGATTATTTTGTGAATAATTGCAGGGAAGTTTTATATGGCTTTAAGCTTATCACTTTATTAGTATTATTTCCCTCATTCTTAGCTAGTATTATTTCCATTCATAAATACTATTTTCATGATCTTTAACTAGTCCTATATGCAGGACTAAAACTAACCTTTATTCGAGATACAGTTTGATATACTAGTATATTCATTACAAGAGATTTCATTACAAGATTATGGAATTAAAAATATAAACAACAAGCTAGTCATTGAGACAGGCAAATCCTTTGGATATATCCCTGCTTTTTGAAATATTGGTGTTTTAGATATACTATACCACAAATAGCTGCAGCTCTGTAGCGTAACGGTTTTATAATTTGTCTTTGACCATAATGCTACAGATCCCGTAATGCAAAAAAGGTACAATTTACGGCGCAATATTTTTTGTGCACTTTTGGGGAGAATTTCTCCACTTTCCAGCATCGGTCAAAACTACCTTTCACTTCCTAATTCTAGGCACATTATTTAACTAATCCTTTTATTTTATCAATCTCCCAACCCTTTATAGTTGTCTCTACAAGTGATAAAAGCACTTGATTAAAATTATTTGTTAGATTGCTGAAAATTCACTTCAGCGAGTTTATTGCCTGTAGAGACAACTAAAAATGGTTGGGAGGTGGATTAAAATATATATATTGGCTACAAAATGTGTCTAGAATTAGGGAGTGAAAGGTAGTTGATTAACCAATGCTAAAAAGTGAAGAAATTCTCCCCAAAAGTGCGCAAAAAATATTGCACTGTAAATTGCACCTTTTTTGCATTACGGGATCTGTAGCGTTATGGTCAAAGACAAATGTATAAAACCATAAAACTACAGATCTGCAGCTAAGCTACAAAGTAATGCACATGTACTATTTGTAGATATGTAGCTATTGGAGTGGGGGTGGTGGCATTGGTCGTGGCAGTGGTGGTTCTTGTGGTCATATGCTACAGAAAAAGAAGATCAAGACCGAATAATGGTAAACTCAATTATTTTGTGTGCTTTTGCAGTACTAATAAACAATTACATGCTAAATCTCTGTTTTAATTTCAACTTTGGGTCTTTTTTTTTTTATTTCATTTTTAAAGTGATACTGATCACTTTCAAATATACAGTTATCGGTCGGGGGTCAGTAAATCATATTATACACCTATTTACTGGTTATGACGACGATGGCAAGTTTATCATCCCCCAAAACAGCAGAATATTTCCCGAGGCACAGCCGCGGGAAATAGTTTGCTGTCAAGGGGGACGATAAACTTAATATTGTCCGAATAGTCAGTAAATAGGTGTTTTATTATACCGATGCTGACTTTACTTTTGTTACGTCATAATATGTCACAATCCGGATAAAACCAGAAGTTTTCTGAGATAAAAAGCGAGGGAAACAGAATGTTGCCGGTGAATAGTTTGATGACTATTTCACCATAGGCAGATAGCACAAAAACTTTTTCACGGTAGGGACTGTTTGGAGAAAAAAGCATGTTTATTCGTCATATTTTTATATAGAAAAAATTCACAGAGGTATGATAATTAATAAACATACTAAAAACAAAACTGTGAATAATATATATTCGCGTTTTTCATTTAATATGAGGTAGGGATTTCAATAATTGCTAAGTCTAGAAACCTTTTTGAACTGTCCGAATTTCACCTGGTCAGAATTAATATTTTTCCGGAAGTAAACAATAGATGATGCATACGCAGTCATAATACTACTCGGAAGAGTACTTTGTTTACTAGTGTGTTTTACAATTAATATTTTGAGTTTACATTTACAGAATGCTTCAATAATTTGATTTAGAAAAAAAGTTTATAATATCATTTCCTTCAGTTAGATATGTTTATATTTTGATCAAAACTATTTCTGCACTCTTTGATATAGCGTAGATTTAATTCATGTGTTATCACCACGGCTTCTGTTTTGAGGGCTCTGACAGTAAACTAATAGACGGGGTCACGTGACCCCGTCTAAAAATGATTGATTATAATTTTATTTCTACTGACAACATATTGTACCTTTTTAGCTCACCTGAGTCGAAGGCTCAATTGAGCTTTTCTGATCACATTTTGTCCGTCGTCCATCTGTTTAGCTGTTCTGCTGTCCGTCTGTAAACTTTTCACATTTTCGACTTCTTCTCAAGAACCACTGGGCCAATTTTGACCAATCTTGGTACAAAGCATCCTTGGGTGAAGGGGAATTTAAATTTGAAAAATGAAGGGCCAAGTCCCCTCACAAGGGGAGATAATCAAGAAAAGACAAAAATAGGGTGGGGTCATTAAAAATTCTTCTTCTCAAGAACCACTGGGCCAGAAAAGCTGAAACTTATGTGGAAGCATCCTTAGGTAGTTTAGATTTGAAATTGTTAAAATCATGACCCCTGGGGGTTGGGCAGGGCCACAATGGGGAATCAAAGTTTTACATAGATATATATAGGAAAATTTTTTAAAAATCTTCTTCTCAAGAACCACTGGGCCAGAAAAGCTGAAACTTATGTGGAAGCATCCTGGGGTAGTGTAGATTCAAAATTGTTCAAATCATGACCCTGGGGGGTAGGGCAGGGCCACAAATTGGAATCAAAGTTTTACAACGGGGAATCAAAGCATCCTAAGTTAGTGCTAAGATTTCAGATTGTCTAAATTATGATCAATGGGGTAGGGTGGGGTCACAATATGTATTACAAGGGGGAAATCTGGTAAGAACGAAATGGTCAAAGCTTCTCAGGTGAGCGATGTGGCCCATGGGCCTCTTGTTTTGATATACCTGTATTTGTTTATATGACTTGTTTTCAGCATATTTCAATCTTTTTCAATGTTAATTCTTCGAAACCATTTACTAGAGTTATAAGATAAAGTACTTTATTATACTTCTGTTAGAATGTTTCCTATATAAAGTTCAGAAGGTAAAATAGCTCTCTTTAATAGTTCAGGCATAGCAAAGCTATACCCCTTGGTATAGTTTTTGTGATTATACCTCTACTGTAATTACTCTATATAAAATTAATGCCATAAAACTGTCTATTTCCCTGAGAAGAAACTATTTCGCTCATCTGAAGACTACTCCCTGCAAAATCAGAGCTACTCCCTGGGACTACTCCTTCATGAATATTTATTAGTAATTTTAACCAATAAAAGTGTTCAGTTGGCTGAGCGTTGAAGACATCTCGAGTCTAGAGTGTGATGTCATGTTATTAGCAATGTAACTATGATGTCAAAACATTTCGACATGCAATGTCAAAATCATACTTGATTTCTGGCAAAATGAAGACAACGATAATTCTTAGAAATGACAGTGAAAATACTTTTTAAAAATAATTTAATTGTTTTAGGACATGATGCATTACTTATCATACAATGTGTTAAACCGCATGCATTTGTAATTATGCCTCTATGTATAGTGGGTTTTTTTATATGTCGGAATACCTGGTAAAAAAAAAAATTAAATCGCCTATGGTTGTTTCGGTATAATAAAACAGTTATGGAATGGGAACTTGGGAAATAGCAAATTTATGGTTCCCCTCGGCAGGAAACTATTTCCCTCCGCGGCTTCACTGCCTCAAGAAATAGTTTCCTCCCTCGGAGAACCATGAATTTGCTATTTCCCTTGTACCCATTCCATAAGTGTATACTATCCACCCTCGGAAAATTTTCATGTAATTTTTGCCTCCAATTTTCATTTCCAGCGATACATCTATTGACTGATGGTGTCATAATGACTTCAGTAGCATTATGACGTCATCAGGATTTCAGTTTATTCTTGCAGTATTATCTTACTCCCAAAAAATTCAAACCATAGAAATTATATTATACATCAGTATAATAAAACGCTTATCCACTGGTTATGAATGTTATAGCTCTTTTATCAAACCCTTGACAGGGACTATTCCCCCCGGGCAAGCCCTCATGGAATAGTTCCCTGTCGCAGATTTGATAAAAGAGCTATCCCACTCACAACCAGTGGATAAGTGTATACTGCTATCTTTCCATGGACCCATGTGTAGAGAAGTCGTCTTGAGAAATTATCGAAACCAAATAAAATCAGTGCACCTGATAAATAAACGAGATAATTCAAAAGTTTGCCCAGACCTACCAATGTGATAAAAATTAAATGTTGAAATATAATCTATATGAATTACTTATTTTCAGTGGAAATTCGATCTATTTTAAAAGTGAATTTCAAATGGGTATGACAATTACTAGTATTCAACATTCTAAAATATGATGAATTTTAGTCATTACTAAAAATCAATTTTATGAGTACTGTAGAGGTCATCATTTTTTTAAAAATGATGAATTTCAGTCTTATCCCTGGCTGGCAACAGCCTATATTACTCTTATTCTCTCGTTAATTGCATCAAACAATTATATTTTAAGAAGTAAGGATCAAATGTTCTAAACTTTTGATTAATGTTAACTGAGAATTTGATAAATCAGATGCACATAAATCTTTTGCATTTGATTTTTTTTATATAAAGTACGTGTTGGAATTTTTTGTATGTTTTATTCACATAAAAATATGAGGTCTTTTGCACAAGCATATTCCAATCATGCATGCTTCATGAAATACATTTATGTTACTTGGAAAAGTCTAAGTTCATAAGAACTTGTCAAACATGATCAATATTTTTGAAATACAATTTATGATTTTATTATAATTCAGAGATTTTTTTTATTTCAAGTTCCAAATGAGAATCAAATGGAAATGGAACCTCTGAATAATACTCCAGTCAGCACAGAATCTTGTAATAGGAATGACAAGACAGAAGAAAGCTCAGCAGAATTGATTCCAAATGGCACGCCTCAATGTACTGTTGGATCACAGACCACAGACAGAATTATGGGAACAGGTAACATTTTTGATGAAAACAGACCCCAGTCAAGTACACAAGAATGTTTGGGAAACATAAAGAAATCTTCATGTCCCCCTCATTATCAACATTCAATTAATGCACACTAAGAGATAGTAAAAAATTAAAAATTGGGTGGGTTTATTGAAAATTTTACTTTTCAAGAACTAGTGAAACTTATAGGAAAGCTTCTTGACATAATGTGGATTCAAGTTTGTTCAAATCAAGGGTGGGGGATGCAATGGATGATCAAAGTTTTACACAGAAAATATATAGAAATATCTTTTAAAATCTTCTTCTCAAGAACAACAAATCCATGTTTAGTCATGTTTATGAAAAGATCATCCTCAAGAGGTTGTCATTCAATATTGTTCAAATCATAACCCCCTGAGGTAGGGTGGAGCAACAATGGGTGATCAAAGTTTTACACTGTAATATATTAGAAAAAAAAAACTTTTAAAAATCTTCTTAACAAGAAAAAGCAGAGTCATATTTAAACATATTGACAAGGAGGCATTGTCTGGTAGTGTTAATTCAAGTTTCAAATCATGACCTCCCAGGGGCAAATTTCTTCAACTCATAACCCACAGGGGTAGGGAAAAATCAAATTTTTACAAAGTAATGTGTAGGAAAATATCTTTATAAATAAATATTTTAAAATCTTTCAAAAACAGCAGTTATTTGCTATATTGATATGGAAGCATCCTCAAGTAGTATAAAATTCAAGTCCCTACCTCCCTGTAAAATTTAAAATTCATAACTGATTTGTGCCTTTTTCTAGCCAAAGAGCTCAAATTAGGGATGTGGCCCATTGGCCTCTTACTTATTATTGAAATAAAAATGTTCATTTAAAGGTTGCCCCTATTTGATACAGAATACATGTATTTGAATTTGTCATATGTTAATGGACCCTGAGGTTACAAGGTGAACATCTTAAAAAAATTATTCCTTGTTATCTAATTAGAATTGGTCAAAAATCTGACAATTGACACCTTCCATTTTACAGAGAATTCAAATCATTTTTATTTATAAATTTTTACCTACTATAATGTATAAAACTTAAACCATTTTCTGATTGACCTTTAGTCCAAGATCAGATTTTTATGCCCCTGTAAACGAAGTTCGGGGGTATATAGTTTTTGTTGTGTCAGTCCGTCTCTCTAGCTGTCTGTCTGTCTAGCCGTCTTTTTCTCCGCAAAAGCTTTAAACTTGTCCATAACTTTTGATTTAGTGCAGCTATGACTTTCATATTTCACATGTGTATTCCTTGTGACAAGACCTTTCATTTAATAGGAAGACCTTTGACTCTTTGACCTTGGAGTTTGACCTACTTTTTAAAATTTTTAACCTGGGCCATAACTTCTGAACGGTTAGGGCTAGGGGTTCCATACTTTACATATGTATTCTTTGTGGCAAGACCTTTCAATGGATACCAATTACCTTGACCTTTTGACCTTGAGATTTCCGTGCTTATGAAAAAACTTTGACCTTGGCTTACTTTAACATTTCACATTTTACAATTGTATTTCCAGTCAGAATACCCTAACTTTGGTACCAATATATTAAAATTGCATTAAAGAACAGTTAAATCTTTGCTGTGTTGCCATACGGGGCATCAGTGTTTCACAAACATATCTTGTTTTCTTTCCAGGTGAGAGGAGTCTCCATAATCAGTCCACTCAGAATGGGTATATAAATAATATAAACAGTCCTTCTTCAGAGGAAATTCCACCACAAGAAACTAACATCAAGGCAGTGTATACAGAGGAATCAGAAAAAAGAGAATTGTCTCAGGAAATACACATAAAACTTTTGGTGGTGAAAAAAGAATAGATCCGTCCATATTTACCGGTACTTCATCTGAACAGATGTCAAACAATGCAGGTATCAGAAGTACTATCATACATTACTGATTCATTAAAGTGATGAGGTTAATAAATTTGTGCATACAGTTAATTCTCGATAAACCGCCACCTTTTGTAATTTAGAAATCATGGCGGTATAACGAATTTGGCGATGAATTGAATTTCCCATCGTTTAGGAAACCAGTGTGTTACTTCTTAGAAATACAATTTGTGTGTGTCTATTCTCATTATTACATGTACATGTACATATTAAAACATATTTCTAAGTTTTAAAATACTTCAAGTAATTTTTTATGTACAATTTCGCTAAAACAAAATGTGCAGTTATGAAATAAAGACAAGCACATGTGGATGCATGTAAATCTGCACGACTGATATTGAAAAAAAAATGCTGGGTCGATCGTCGTGATATAATGCCGATAATACGTAAAATGAATTCTTGAATAAATTTATTGTTTAAGGCATCATTGTTAATAAAATGTTCACAATTTATACCGTATAATTATTTTTAAAGCAAATTTTGCATTGTTTAAAGCAGAGATCATCAAAATAATATCGTTATCTGTGTTCTTAAACAACGACCCCCTTCGTGGCAAAGCCGTCACTAAATGATTTTTATTAAACAGAAAACAAAATTATCATAACAGTTCATGTTAAAATCATTGTTTATTTAATTCTTATTTAATTATTTAATTGCATGTACCTTGCCTGGCTTTGCATGCTTTACAACAGGGATAGCGTCAACCAATTAGCCGCGTTTCACTGACCACATGCACCTGTGGCGGTATATCGAGATAATTGACACTTAAAAATGGACGTTTGTTGTGAAAACAGGGTGGCGGATGGCGGTATGCGAATTTGGTGTTATAAAGAGAATTTTATATAGCAGGAAAAACGTTCTTGGCAAATCATGGCGGTATAGCGAAAATGGCGATGAATCGAATGGCGATAATTCGAGAATTGACTGTATATGCAATGAGAAAAAACACAGTTTTATACCCCTGCTCCAAAGGAGAGGGAGGTATGCTGTTTTATCCCTGTGTGTCTCTCTGTATATAGCTGTGTGTGTGTCTGTCTTACAAATTTTGATCACAGTTTTCACAGAACTTATTCATTAGAGATACCTAGCTTACTCTTTTTAGCTCACCTGAGCTGAAAGCTCAAGTGAGCTTTTCTGATCACATTTTGTCCGGCGTCCGTCTGTCTGTCCAGCTGTTCGTCTGTCCGTCTGTCTGTAAACTTTTCACATTTTCGACTTCTTCTCAAGAACTGCTGGGCCAATTTCAACCAAACTTGCCACAAAGTATTCTTGGGTAACGGGGATTCAAGTTTGTTCAAATCAAGGGCCACGCCCTCATTCAAGGGGAGATAATTGGGAATAAATGAAAATTTGGTGGCATATTTTAAAAATCTTCTTCTCAAGAACCACTGTGCCAGGAAAGATGAAACTTATGGAGAAACATCCTCAGGTATTGTAGATTCAATTTTGTTCAAATCATGACCCCCGAGTGTAGGGCGGGGCCAAAATGGCCGACCAAAGTTTTACATAGAAATATATAGGAAAATTCTTTAAAAATCTTCTTCTCAAGAATGACAAAGCCGTAATTGATCATATTTATATGGAAGCATGCTCAGGTAGTGTAGATTCAAGTTTCTTCGAATCATGACCCCCCGGGGGTAGGACGGGGCCAAAATGGCCGACCAAAGTTTTACATAGAAATATATAGGAAATTTCTTTAAAAATCTTCTTCTTAAGAATGACAAAGCCATAATTCATCATATTTATATGGACTAGCATGCTCAGGTAGTTTGGATTCAAGTTTGTTCAAATCATGACCCCCGGGGGTAAGGCGGGGCCAAAATGGCCGACCAAAGATTTACATAGAAATACATAGGAAAATTCTTTAAAATCTTCTTCTCAAGAATGACGAAGCCATAATTCATCATATATATATGGAAGCATGCTCAGGTAGTGTAGTTTTAAGTTTGTTCAAATCATGACCCCCGGGGGTAGGGCAGGGCCAAAATGGCCGACCAAAGTTTTACATAGAAATATATAGGAAAATTCTTTAAAAATCTTCTTCTCAAGAATGACAAAGCCATAGATTCAACATATATATATGGAAGCATGCTCAGGTAGTGTAGATTCAAGTTTGTTCAAATCATGACCCCCGGGGCCAAAATGGCCGACCAAAGTTTTCAAAGATATATGTAGGAAAATTCTTTAAAAATCATTTTCTAAAAAATAGCAAATCCATGATTGGTCATGGGACTACTTTTGGATTTAAACTTTACAATAAAAAACCATTTTCTACTTTTTCCTACCCTTAGTGCTCAGGTGAGCGATGTGGCCCATTGGCCTCTTGTTTTAGCATGCCATACCTGGATATTTCAATTAATGATCTATTTTTAGCTCACCTGAGCCGAAGGCTCAAGTGAGCTTTTCTGATCACATTTTGTCCGTTGTCCGTCCATCCATCCGTCTGTCCGTCTGTAAACTTTTCACATTTTCCACTTCTTCTCAAGAACGAATGGGCCAATTTTAACCAAACTTGGTACAAAGCATCCTTAGGTGAAGGGGAGTTTAAATTGTTAAAATGAAGGGCCAAGTCCCCTTGCAAGGGGAGATAATCAATAAAAGACAAAAATAGGGTGGGGTCATTAAAAAAATCTTCTTCTCAAGAACCACTGGGCCAGGAAAGCTGAAACTTATGTGGAAGCATCCTTGGGTAGTGTAGATATTAAATAATTAAAATCATGACCCCCGGGGGTAGGGCGGGGCCACAATAGGGAATCCAAGTTTTCCAGAGAAATATATAGAACAAATCTTTAAAAATCTTCTTCTCAAGACCACTGGGCCAGGAAAGCTGAAACTTACGTGGAAGCATCCTTGGGTAGTGTAGATATTAAATTATTAAAATCATGACCCCCGGGGGTAGGGCGGGGCCACAATGGGGGAATCAAAGTTTTCCATAGAAATATATAGAACAAATCTTTAAAAATCTTCTTCTCAAGAACCACTGGGCCAGGAAAGCTGAAACTTATGTGGAAACATCCTTGGGTAGTGTAGATATGAAATTGTTAAAATCATGACCCCCAGGGTTAGGGCGTGGCCACAATAGGGAATCCAAGTTTTACATAGAAATATATAGAACAAATCTTTTAAAATCTTCTTCTCAAGAACCACTGGGCCAGGAAAGCTGAAACTTTTGTGGAAGCATCCTTGGGTAGTGTAGATATTAAATTGTTAAAATCATGACCCCCAGGGATAGGGCGGGGCCACAATAGGGAATCCAAGTTTTCCATAGAAATATATAGATCAAATCTTTAAAAATCTTCTTCTCAAGAACCACTGGGCCAGGAAAGCTGAAACTTATGTGGAAGCATCCTTGGGTAGTGTAGATATTAAATTGTTAAAATATTAACCCCCGGGTTAGGGCAGGGCCACAATAGGGAATCCAAGTTTTCCATAGAAATATATAGAACAAATCTTTAAAAATCTTCTTCTCAAGAACCACTGGGCCAGGAAAGCTGAAATTTATGTGGAAGCATGATTGGATAGTGTAGATTCTAAAGTATTAAAATCATAAAAGGGAAGGGGGTAGGTGCATGATAGGTACAGCAAGAGGGGGAAATCTGGTAAAGAACTGCATCACCCAAGTTACTCAGGTGAGCGATGTGGCCCATGGGCCTCTTGTTTAAGAAATCCAATGTCTGCTACCTGTTTATCCATATGTCTGTCTGTACCAAATTTCATCACTTTTCTGATCACTTGTTTTCATCAACTTCTTCTCTAGATCCACTGGACCAATTTTAACTACTTTGGTTTTGAATCATTGTTAGGTGAAACAAAGTTAAAGTTGTTAGGTGAAAATGAGGAACATAATCCCCAAAGGAGGGGAGATAATCAAAAAAAGACAAAATTAGAATGATGTAATAAAAACATATTCTCAAACTACTGGGTGAGAAAAGCTGAAACTTATCTGGATGCATCCTAGGGTAGGGTAGAATTGAAATTATTCATATTATGCCCTCATCAATAGTGTGGAGCTTCACTAGGGAATCAAAGTTTTATATAGCTGCAGAACTGCAGCTCTCTGAAAAAATATATTGACAGAGCGGAGAGCTACTTACAAATTTGCCTCAGATGCCCAGCTGTATCCTATCTATATTTTCCAGATGAGTGACCAGGGTATATTTCCGGTGTAGCTCTATAGATATATTGCCTAGTATTATGATTAATCTTACATCTTAGGATGGAATCTTTCAGACTATTTTCAGATCTATAAATTGACATTTTCCTGAATTATAGTGACCAGGTTAAAATATTTCGAGCAGGTCCATTCCCATGTAACTACTACTTATACCAAACTTGCATGGATATTGAACTTGAAATGCACACAAACTTTATAAAAAAAAATATGACGTGATATTTGCTTTACTCAAAGATAACATTTGTAGAGGTTAGCTTCATAATCTTTGTTTACTTTAATTTCACACACAAACCTTGTATATCACCGATAAAAATAACATCCTAGTAATCTGTCCTTCCAAGAAAGATTGCATGGGAAAGGTATCTGTAAGATAATTCATGAAACATGAAATGTCACAAAATTTTGGCAACTGATTTATCTTATTTAATTTCAATGCAGGGATTTCTTTTTGTTCTCATTGTACTTAATGATGTGAAATATTATACTTTCATGTAAATTAGTTGAATCTGATTGGTCAAGAAACATTTGTTCAAAAACACTATTACCTGCTGAATAATGAAGCCATGCCCTCCAGCATAGAAACAGTCAACATTGCTTGACGACGGGTGATTTTCCAAAAAATAGCAACTGCCCAGAATTTATGCGCACACGGTTCACTGTTATATGTATTTGTATAAAACATTTAGTATGATGTAATAAATATTGCATGTAGTTGAATGTAACATTGAAAATACCCACCCCAACAAAACCATTGTCAACCTCGGCTGCACCTCGGTTGACAATGCATGGTTTTCTTGGGGTGAAAATTTTCAATGTTACACTCAACTACATGTACATGCAATATTTATATAATATCTCTGAAATTTATATACAAGGCATGACTTTTTCAGCAGCTGTAGGTAGTACTATTGGTCTACTATCTGCTCCAGATCTTGGCCTTGACAGCATGACAAAGGATGAGGGTATGTAAAGATATTTTCATGTCCCATCAACAATCTTATGAAATATATGCAGTCAAACTCTGCAATCCTGAACTTGATGGAGTGGAAAATAAATTTCATATTTTTGTAGTTCAGTATGGAATTTATTTCATGAGTGGGACAGGATTTTTTTTTTATTTTTCCAATAGTGTAGAGCACAAGTGTAAAAATGAAAACTCATATCCCAATGCATGAAATAAATTCCACATTGGACCAACCCCCTTTTAGGATAATCAAGAGGATCACCAAAAAAAGTGGAGTTAATCAAAAATCATCTCAAGAATCACTGAGCCAAAAAAAAAATGAAACTTGTATGAGCTCCCAGACAAAATGTTGGGTCATGATTAGGGATAAAAATTTTAAACAGAAATATCTACCAAAAAACTGCTCAGTTAGTGCAATTTTAATGAATTCCATTCAAATCATGACCCTTGAGAGTGGTGTGCCACAATACAGTAAAACTTGGTTAAAACGAAGTCACTGGGACCTATAAAAATACTTCGCTATATTGGTAATTTGTTATATCCTTATAAGGAATTCTTGAAAAATTGATAGTTGGGGATCTAAGATAACTTTGCTATATCCATGAATTTGCAATATCCGTGTTCATACTAAACGAGTTTTACTGTATACACAATATTAATTACTTCATTAGGTCACCTTAAACTTGACCTATTTTGGCTATCGTGCGTTTGCGTTGTGCGTATATATTAACATTTTCAAAATTAGATTTTCTACTTTATAACACAGATTAACAACAGAATTATTTGTATAGGCAGAGAGAGTGATATGCTTTTAATTTTTATTTTTGCAGATTACCCAGACAGTATAAAGCTAGATGCAGCTCCACATCTTGATTTAACAGCTTCACTTAAACAATTGAATTTCAATGATTCAAACTGATATGTCTAGTTATATGATATAGTAGGTTGTAGAACTAGAACTGTATTGTACTGTTGAGATTGGACTGTGGATATTAGCCTGGATAGCTCATTGTATAGTGCAGCTGACTAGTAATTCAGGGTTCCCAGTATTGATTCCTAGTCAAACCATATGTCTTTTTATAATTTTCAATGTAATCTTCTTCTCCTCTTATTCCAAAACTACAAAATGTGCCATGGCCTACCTTGCTTAATCCTGACAAGGGGAACTTGTGTGTCTTTTTATATAGTGAAAATACATGAATTTTTTGAAAGGGATTGTAACTAATATAATATTATACAATTATTGTGAATTTTATGGCCCCAGGGTCAGGGGTTCTGGTGTTGATTATATGGTTACATGAATTCTTTGAAAATCACCTCTGCTCCCAGATTAAAATAAACTCATATAGTTATGATGAGGCGAAGCCAAGGTCAATATGGATATTTTTCTGGTGAATAACAAACCATATTCAATATACCAAAAGAGTCCATAATTGTTTTATTATATAGTCAGGATTTGAATAGATAAGACATTGAAGGCTGTATGATGACACCATTTTCATTTGCGATCTTCCGTTGTTGAAAATAAAAAAATCTCCAGATTACTGTTTGTAACCTCTGTGTTTTCCTTTCGGAGTTTCGCTATGTGTAAGACGTCCAAATGTTAAAAAATAATCCTGAAATAGGTTTAAATAATTGTTTTCCTGCTCAGATACGTAGCTCGCTGCGGCCGTTGCAACCATTGTTTACAACGCTGTTCGATGTTTTGATTGTGACGTCACAAAGCCGTTGCACCCGCATTGACCCTCCGGTGAATACGGCCTAAACTCCGGTGAATTTGTAGTGTTATGAACTGTTTGCGCTTGTATAGATTATATAGGCAATATAAATAGACTATATAATGATTATGGATATTGGCCTGGGGAGCTTAGTGCTCAAAACACACGACTTCTTTTAGTGATAAAGGGATCCCAGGTGTTATTTCTGGTCCAGTTATATATATATATATATATATATGTGTGTGTGTGTGTGTGTTAAGTATTTATTAATTTTAAGTGTACATGTTATTAAGTCATTGCTTTTTTTCCATTCTACATTTATTTAATGAATATTAAACCAAATATGCCTACAGAATATATTTTATTTTGCTTTTTGAAGTGTGCCATAAGCAATCACCTATTTTTTGCTATATACATATATAGTGCCAAATGACATAATAATTTGTTCTCTTATTTTCAGTTCTTTTCATCTTTAGAGATTATTATATTCTACACTTTATACAGATGTTCATTTTGAAGTACTGGGTATTTGCTATTGTTGATTTCATAACAAATGTGTGTTCTCTTGATTTTTCTTCTTCTGTATGAATGAATAATTTGAAGTTGGTTTTTAAAAAGTGTAATTTTTTATAACAAGTGCACAACAAATTGGAACATTCCCTTGAAATAAGCATATCTATAAACTAAGAGAATATTCATGTAGACATGGATTCCAATGCAAATTATGCCACTTCCACTTTGCAGTAACAAACACACACATACACACACCCTCACATACACACACACACCCTCCCTCCCTCACACACACTCACACATAATTGTGATACTATATCCCCTCCAACTATTTTGTGAGGGGATAACATGTATCAAAGTTGGATATAAGGGGTGTTTAAATGTTCGTTCCATGATTAAATATTTTCAAAAATTTCAAAGTTGTGCTTAATAAAAGAGACGAATTTTCAAGTCTGACAAAATTGCAAGAATGTGCTTTAGATTTATAGCAATTCATTTCTAGCAGAAAATTATAGGACTTTTCATCCATATGAAAAAATATATGACATCTTTAAAGCACCTGAATGATAGAAATGCTGGTCATTTTGAGTGAAAGTAAAGGATAATTTACTTCTGTTTTTTCATAGCTTATCTTGCAGCTGATAAGTGTAGGTATACGAACCATAGATCACTTTTAAAAAGAATAAGTTTGTCATTTTTAAATTTTTCACCTTATCAGTAACAACAATGGACCTGTAAACATAAAATATAACAAATTGTAAATAACATCGTATTTCTTTTTGAAAATAAAAGAAAAAAATGTGAAATGAACTTTCTTAACACCTTTGAGTAAAATATTTTGGATTAGAAATCTTAATTTGTATTTCATTGCATGGCATCTTATTAACAAGAAATGAAGAAATTTGGTTAAAAATTATAATTATAAATAGAGAATAAGGAGGCAAGGGGGGCATTAAAAATGGTATGACTGATGGTGCTGTATATTCTGTAATAAAACATAAAATAAACCAAACAGTTTGAACAATGTGTCTTTACTAAAGATCCTTACAGTTCGCTGATAATGTTAAATGGATGTTTATTGTGTAATAAAATTCATGTTTATCATTCAGTACAGTTTTTAAAGAAACATCAAATGTAAAGGCTGAATAATTTTAACTTCTAAATCTATTTAATGACACATTTCATGTAATGTTCTAATTGTAATAATTGTATTTATTTTAACTATTTATTTATAAATTAAGTAGAGAGTTCCAAGGAAACCATGTGTCACCTGCTTTAAAAGTTTCATTCAAGATGTTATAAAAATTTCTCAGTTGTTGTTATTTGCTAGTTGCTACTGCCAAGCAGTCCATGCATTTGCTGCAAAGAAATCAAAACGTACCTGGATAGTACGACTGCATCAGAATCTGGCGGTCAAACTCGAATAAGTCCCCCTACCCTCAGTGAAGTTGGATTTTTCAATTTGGGTGTGACTGTCTCTGTGCAACACTCGTTTCTGAACGATATCTTGAAAAAAGCATTTGAGCTTTTGCAATGAATTGACCCAAGGAGGACCTATTTAAAGGTCAAGGAAAATAATTCGAAGTATTACAAATTATATTTTCCAGATATCGCCTTTAGTTTTCCAAAGCTAGCTTTAAAGAAATTTTAAATCACAACTCCCTATGATATTAAGAAGACCCCCTACAAGCTGTATTTGTTAGGAGAGAAAATTGTCAGAGGTCATAGTCATATATTTATATAAATTATAATTTACATACGAATACATGTATATATAAAATATAATTATACTATCATGCATAAATGTAAATCTGTGACATTGAAGGTAGTATACTAATGTAAAGTAAAGAAAAGGTAACTTGGATACAGAGGGTACCAGGGGACGATGCCTCTGCACAGTCGATTATACTGGCAAACCCGTACTCTAAGTATTCAAGACACCCATTCTGTATATTTTAGAAGGATAGGGGGGGGACACATTTAATTTACAAAACTTTAGTACTTAAAAAAATAAAAACTTTAATAGATTTACTAATACTTTTCATACTGCAGCTCTTATAATCATTTTACTGACTTGAATTAGTATTTGCACATCCTCATTAGCCATGAGCCAATTTAACTTATTATCACTGTCCAAGTTGTGAAAATTCTTACAGGATATGTTTATTAATTCATACAAGACTTTTTTTCATCCTTAATATGATTACATGAAAGGAGAAAATGTTTCTCATCATCAAATGTAGGAGAGATACAGTTTCGTCAGAGACTTCTGGTTTAATTGCGGAAAGACCCATAAATAAAGCATAGGCTTTAGAACCGGGGGCACTTTTTTTGCAAAGATATCCACAATATAGGCATGGAATTTTTTTTGTTTAGCCCCCACCCTTTCAATTGACTTACTATGCCTGTGTAAAACGAATATTTTTTCAACAACTTACGATATTTTATGGCAAGCCCTTCATTGAGAAATTTTCTTCCTATGATATTGAAGATTTGCTGTACATTGCAAAAAAATCCGGAGGTGGATTTCAATATAACAATTGTTCTTGTTGCTATAAGATACCCAATGGCCCAAGGCGTCCTCCGGCCCACGGAGAGGATTAGCTGCAGATACAAAGGTTACACTAGCTGCAGCGTTTGTCTTTGACCATAACAGTCCAGTCCGATACGAAAATTCGTAATATTACGAAAAAGCGTAATGTTACAAGTTATCGTAATATAAAACATATTACAATTTTTCGTAATGTAGTTAAATTACGAATACGCGTAATATAGCAGATTGTAAGAGACTATATTACGAATTTTCGTAATCCAAGACAAATTCAAGCATTGCAAGAAATTGAGTGGTCGGTAGCAAAGTATGACGTCAGTAATACATCAGATTCCACGGCTACTGATAGCACGCGGTCTGTTTGGTCAGTTACGCCTATCAAAAAGCATGGAAATTCAAGAAGAAAATACCGCCAGCGATGGGTGAGTGGACAATTTCTTTTATTCTTTTATAGGAATTTTCCGAAGGATAAGACCAATTTTCCAGTAAATTTCAATATTCGCTTAAGCATGTCGCATTGGTCTATATCACCCGAACTCCCTACTTTTCTAGCGAAGTCTACCCTAAAAATCACACCCTCGTCTTATAATTCAACTGTTCGTGCAATTATGTTCCCCAAACGGAGTTTGGGAACATATTGTTTTTACTCGGTTTCTTATTATTATTATTATTAAGGTCTTCCGTCTTCACGGAAGACCTTATAGTGATTCTATTGTTTCTTATTTATTATTATTATTATTCTTTTTTTGACAAAATTTTGTGCAGGCGATTTCTCGAAAACTATTCAGCGGTTTTTCATGAAATTTTCACAAAATATGTGTCATTATATGAAGTTGTTACATCCGAAGAGAAATTTGGAAAAATCGCTCTTGGTGCCAAGTTATGGACAATTTCCTGATTTTAAAATGCGATTTTGTCGCCCCTTTTTGTCGAAAATGGCTAAGGATATGATATGGAGACTTATTGGAGATGATAGATCATGACTTTGTGGTTTGCAGAATCGCCTTTTCGTGCGTCGTCAGTACTTCCGGTCGTTACGAGGTGCAAATTAAAAAATTCGTATTTTCTAACTTTTTTGTTTTTCAACATTTTTCATT